GATGACAACTAATTAAAAATAAAAATAAACTTATTATATAATAATTAACGTTAGGGCCGTCTACCAAATTTGAATGAGAAACAATAACAAGAAATGAAACATATCAAAGAAAATCGTAATTATTTTGTTCATAACAATTCTGTCCCAACGAGCTGAGAACAAGAAAAAAGTTAAAAATTAATAGAAATTAAAATAACAATTATCCTTCGTGGACGGTAGTTGTTTCAAATATGAAGAAGGCAAAATCTCAAGAACCGACTAAGTTATTAATATTAATACAATAGTCACGTCAACAGTTTTGACCGACACTCTATAATTAATAAATAAATAATGATGTCTTTGTGGCAAAGAACAGAAACGCCACGCAGGGATTTAAAAAGTAATCGTGTGTTAAACGCTATTATAATGTGACTAAGATTTGACAGTTTAAGCCAAAACGAGGATGAGAATGCCAGACTTTCGACAAATGAAATGACCAATATCAATCTATTAAAGAAACACTTAATAACTGGTTTTCTAGGAGCGATGTGATGTACAATAACCGATCTGTATAAATAACCCCTCGCATTCTGTCGGGCCTTTTACTATGGCAATTCGTCCGGGAGTGGCTAAACATTTTAATAAATAGCTGGAATAGTGAATACTATATTTGGAATATTCGTTGAGTGTACGGGGTAGATTTATGCACCAACCAGTATGTACAGAACTTAAAACTGGACATAATTTCAGATTACCGGATCTGAAAGGACGAAAGGTCTGACCTGCTGTGATCGCTGAACAGTGAACATGACCTTATCATAAACCTGGGAACAGGGCATGGATTTGCGCCAAACTGAAGTGTTTAAAAAAATGTACATAATATGACACACCTTTTCACCCTAGAAGAGCGAACTGCTTGTACAGCGTTTTGTTAACGATACCCCTCGTAAGTCTGTTGCTATATGGCAACAGGGAAGGGCCAAGGGGAGAGGTTAGGTTGGGGTTTGGAGTGGGTCACAGTTTTACCTTAAAAGCTTGTTACACTCTTACCAGCTGCAGCTAAATTTAAACTGCTGGGTACACAAGATTTTCCTGCTGTAATTGCATAACAATACTCAAAGTTTCTCACCGCAAAGATTGGTAGTTAAACGATGGGTTTATTGTTTAAGGAATCAATCCCGTCAAGACGCCAGGTATGAATTTTTATCAATCATTGGGCGAGGAGATTATGCAAGTTAAACCAGTCACAATTGTCGATTTTAGATTTCTAAAACGTCTGACCTGTTGAACATACTGATATAATAAAACTGATTATAATTCTGGGATCAGGATAGGCATGAGTAGGTTACAGTAATGTTACGTCTACACAAACCGAACACTGTGTTTTAATATCAAAGTTTGAAATATTACGTGCCTTTTAAACTTATACAAAAACAGGTCCGACCAGTATACCTTTCAATTAACTGATATGAAATGCTTAAACAAGACCAAATCTCCTTAAATATACATTCATTCAACGTGCATTAACTATACTAGTAATTAGTATAGTATACAGTGCAGATGGCTCTAAAAGCGAAAGCTATCCTATTATAATTCATACCTAAACAGCAGCAATCAAGGATCGAAATGACTAACGGTAGATCGAGTTGATAAACAAGAATAATTCAAGCTCAAAACCATTTCGAACAATTGAGTGATAAAGGTCGATCAAATTCAGTAGTAAGGCTGGATCCAAATTAAAGCCACGGACATGTTCTCCGCAAACATTTCGTATTAGCGACACACAAATATTTAGTACAAATACGAACGGCGCGGCGCCTTATTATGGAGGGAGAATTTTTTTCTCCCTCTGGTTTGTTATTGTTTGCAAATTGACTATGACCCCCTTTATCGTCCTGACGATACAGGGGGAGCCGCGCACTCCGTGCGCGGCGGGTCATACAACGTATGACAAGCGCATTGCGGTAACTTCTGTCAAACTTCACAAATCTTACATATCTTGATAGTCTATTTGCTATTGCATGCTTGCTTCTCTCATCTGCAGGAAACTTGAAAAGAGCTCGGCCGGGCATGGGGATTGGCGTGCCAGGTAATATGAATCGAAATTAAATTAGGTCTTTTGCAATGTATTGAGAATGTAATGGCGCAGGTTGTATCTTTACTGAAAGCACTCTTATATTTTTAAATTTCTTCGAAAAAGCGCGCGCCGGGCTAGTACATTAACGATGGACAACAACTTCCTCATTCCTCCAAACGTCATGATTCGAAATTAAATCTTTTGCGATGTATTCTGTATTTAGAATCAATATATACACGTATATAAATTACTTGGAATACTTTGAAAGAGAACAAATAGCTAAAAACGCTGCCGTCTTATTTCTTCGTAAAAAGCACAATAGCTTAAGTAGCTTTTGTCAATGTGCCTCAACAGTTATTTTAAACGATTCCTAGACTATTATAGCAAGCTAAATATAGCTAAAGTTTGCTAGTTTTCATCATCAATATTGCTCTCAGTCTCACGTATCGAGCGTGCTAAATCCCTCTACAGTTGATCTTCGAGATTGTTCTAAAAGGGCCCCCGACAGTTGAAACCAACTTTAATGTATGTAGACGCTGATTCCGAATCACCCCCCATGACATAGGGTTAGAATGCTCCCCTGGCGAGATATTTGATATTGGCGAAAAACTTTCTCTTTTTTTTTTTTTTTTTTTTTTGTTGGGGACTGGCCCGTGGTACCAGCCAATGTTTACTCAAAAAATATATATAATATCAATGGTAATAAGAAATTCATCCCCGTGGGGCACATGCATAAATATAAAATGTAAAGGAAATCTCAAACTATTCAATTAAGATTCTACCGGTAAAGTATGCAATGAAGGTTTATAATTTAAAGTTTTATTTTCCAATGGTTAATAGGTAAAGATAAGAAAAGTAAAACAAGACTGAGCACTTCAAAATTTGTAGAATTTGTAACTTGATTTGAAATCGCGGCGATAAAAAAGAATGTCCTATGTTGGCAGTGTAATTGATGAGATATGCGACGTTTAGTGAGTGATGCATAAGTGTGTGCATATAATCTAAGATGTAGAGACAAGGTTATTATCGGCATTTTGGTTTATGTTACGCTTTGATTTTCTTAGTCCTGTTATACAATATAACATGAAATTAGGCCAATCGTCTTCGATGTTTTCATTTTGCTGATCGATGAGCATAGTTTTTATACAAGTTTTGTAAATGTTCAGGTTAAATAGACTAGGCGGGGATGTTGCTGCAACATTATATCGGTTTATTGCTAATAATGGACCTTTAAAAAATACTGAGTTGTTGTAAGGGTGTTGACCATACTTTTCTGACCATTGTGTAGTGAGAATAGAATCCAGGTTAGTATTAAATAATGGTGCACTTTTGGGAATTGTTTTCTTGAGAGACAATGGTACTAGATTAGGAAAGTTTTTTAATTTATGCATTAAAATGAGTGCGTTCTTTACAATGATACTGTGTACTGTCAATATTTTATGTGAATAAAAGCCAGACTTGGTACTTGCTGGGGGGATACCGTCCTTGTACCAGTAATTGACGAAACCAGGTAATACTGCTCGAAGGCCCATTTTCTGTTTTACAAAAAGCGATTCAATATGAGACTTGGCAGCAAAACCCCATACAAGGCTGCAATAATTAAGGTGTGACTGCACAAAACTTTGATAAATTTGAAGACGTGCTTCGAGAGGCAGATATTTTTTAAGTTTGTACATGACTCCTATGTATCTGGACATTTTCATTTTCATGGCAGAAATATGATGGGACCAGTTTAGTTTATCATCTATTATAACTCCTAAAAAACGGGCTTCTGTTTTTCTCTCAATTGTGACACCAGAAATTGCCACATCACGATAATTAAGATTTCTTTGTCGAGAGAAGATCATATAATTTGTTTTCTTAAGGTTGAGAGCTAAACCATTATTATCTACCCATTTAACTAAAGCATCGCTAAGAGTTATTAGTTTATCGTAAACTTCATTAAGATTTTCTCCTATCAGGAAGATGTTGGCATCATCTGCGTACATAATGAAATTTGCTATATCTGATATTTGCGGTAGGTCGTTTATGTAGATTATAAAAAGTAAAGGTCCTAATATTGACCCTTGAGGCACGCCGTATAAAATTTGGTTGGTTGAAGATTTTGACGAGCCAATTGATACAAACTGTTTCCTGTTAGTGAGATATGACTTAAACCAGTTTAAGGCTTGACCCCTTATGCCGTAATGGTCCAGCTTGCGCAAGAGTATGGAATGATCCACAAGGTCGAAAGCTTTGCTGAAGTCGATTAAAAGAAGTAAAGTTACCTGCTTTTTAGACATTGAATTAAGAATGGTGTCTTTTGCGTTGAGAAGAGCATGTTCACAAGACCTACCCGGGCGAAAACCGTATTGGTTTTCACATAGTATGCTGTATTTATCTAAAAAACTTATAACTCGGTTATGCATTAGCTTTTCAAATACTTTAGAGAAAGAAGCAAGAAGAGTGATATGACTTTATAAGGAAGTTAGTCTAATTTCTCGTTGGGGTTACTGTTAGAGTTTCAGCATATGCTTTTGTGAGGGATTGGGTATTACTTATACTATTAGGATCAGATTAGATGGTTAGGGTTTCGAATAGTCATTCAGGGCCACCTAGAGAAAGGGTTAAAAAAGTCACGTGACAGTAGAGTGATTGATCATCATCCGATGTCAACCCTTCGAGATCGTTGCTCTGAGAAGCAAGAATAATATAAACCTATACCCCAAAGCTAACCGGCGTGACCACGACAGAGTTTGCGTTTTGCTGGCACACCACGACACAACGTCAACAGTCATCCATTAAATTGAATATTTCAGCTCCTTAGGACATAGGAGAGCATTTTTACTACAAGTACAACAAGAGGGGCGATTCGGTCCGTCGCATCACATCAAGATTGGCGTAATTTTTGGTGTATAACTTTAATTCTTTTTCCAATTCTGGTTAACAAATGAAAAAGAATCAGTTATGAATAATGCTTTCTTGATTCCCGGTATAGCAAATGGTAAAATATTCACTTATTTACAGACCTCGGTAATAGTAATACAAAATATTTAGAAATCATCAACGTAACAAGAAAAGGAGCAGGCCTAAGAATGAAGAATATATTTTGAGCCGTAGTACATACATATTACATTGCGATGAAAACTGCGATGAAATGCCGCGCATTTATACAGGCGTACGTTTAAGTATGATTTGTAAATGACAGTCCTACACAACACAAGTCTCTACATAGCAGTGGGGGTTTGAGGGGTGGAGCCCCTACTACTGAGTCGAGTTAACATGGCCTCCTGGGCAACTGTCCTGATCGAGCGAGGGAAGAACTGAGCAGCGTCCTTAGCCCGACGAGGTCGGATCTTGGGCTTCAGTAATCCTTGTCTCTTGGCTGAGAGCTGGAACCTGGGAAATAACGGGTAAAGATAACAAATTATCATCGGTAGAAATAATTACTCTATTTCTTAGATACTGTGTTAAGGAATCGGGTATCTTAGGTACATTAATCTTTTATGGGATCATTGATCTTGAAATAATCATAAATGTGATGTAAAACTAGAAGTGTCATGTAAAACTAGTGTACCTCTGTGAGCTCTGACGACGGACAAGTTCTTCTTTGGCTCTGGAGAGGAGGGTGATGGGTCCTCTAGCCGCCTTCTGTTCAGTACTCAGGACCTTAGCATGCTGCAGAACCTCATCCAGCTCCTCCTTCGACCTGGAACCGGACATATAGTTACACATGCGTGATGGATGGCTTTCTATAATAAATAAAAGGCAGGATTAATTCAAACAGCTTCACGTTCCTCAAATTGATATTTGACAAGTCGTAAAAACGAACCTCGTGACAAACATAGCCTTGAAGACGTCAGCAAGTTCCTCTCTGTCAAAGTCAGCGTGTTGTATCAGTTGAGATATGAACTTCAGCTCCTGAGAGAGTGTAACATTAAGGTATCCTGACAGTTACCATAGTAACAGGTAACAGGTAAACCGTGTCCAGGTAACAGGTAACAGGTAACAGGTAACAGGTAACAGGTAAACCGTGTCCACTTCTAATGGACAAGTTCTGGACAGGATAAGGAGGCGTTGTGAAAAAGATAAGTCTAGGGTTGAACATGTATCGATAGGGTTCCATCTGTCACGCTACCAGTCAGACAATAAGAGATTAACACTTTGGAGGTCAATTTCCGGGGCTAGAAAAATTCAATTAATTTGATCTCCTGAGTGGGTACATATTAGCCTCCTCCGCATGCATTCAGATAAAGATATCTCGTGATTTGTTGGAACGAGGTCCTGGATGAATTTTGTACAGGAAAGACAGTTTTTGGACAAGATAAAGAAACATTGAAGATTTATTTCAAGTTGAATGATTTTGGAAAATTATTACAGCACAACGAGCTTTGGCATAACCGCCGGACTCAAATATTTCTATCTGTAACTAAAAAAGACCAAAAGATGATGATAAATTATTTCATTAAAAAATTAGCAGTCAAATGTAAAAGTTCTAGAAAATTCTAAATTCCTCATCGTCCAGCGGGAGTTCTAGAAGGGTCTAGTATTCCTCATCATCATCTTCCTCTCCCTCGTTGTCAACAGAGTCGGTACCGACCTCCTCGTAGTCCTTCTCCAGAGCAGCCAGATCCTCTCTAGCTTCAGAGAACTCTCCCTCTTCCATTCCCTCTCCTACGTACCAGTGGACAAAGGCTCTCTTGGCATACATGAGATCGAACTTGTGATCCAGACGGGCCCATGCCTCAGCAATGGCAGTGGTGTTGGACAACATGCACACAGCTCTCTGAACCTTGGCAAGATCACCTCCGGGAACAGCAGTTGGTGGCTGGTAGTTGATGCCAACCTTGAATCCAGTGGGACACCAGTCCACAAATTGGATGGACTTTTTCGTCTTGATGGTGCCGATGGCAGCGTTGACGTCTTTGGGGACAACATCTCCCCTGTAGAGGAGACAACAAGCCATGTACTTGCCGTGTCGGGGATCACACTTCACCATCTGGTTGGCAGGCTCAAAGCAAGCGTTGGTGATCTCAGCAACAGAGAGCTGCTCGTGGTAAGCCTTCTCAGCGGAGATAACTGGAGCATAAGTAGCCAGAGGGAAGTGGATCCTGGGGTAGGGCACCAAGTTGGTCTGGAACTCAGTCAGATCAACGTTCAGAGCACCATCAAATCGGAGAGAAGCTGTGATGGAGGAGACAATTTGTGCCATCAGTCTGTTCAAATTGGTGTAGGAAGGTCTCTCAATGTCCAGGTTTCGTCGGCAGATGTCGTAGACGGCCTCGTTGTCGACCATGAAGGCACAATCAGAATGCTCGAGGGTGGTGTGGGTCGTCAGAATGGAGTTGTAGGGCTCTACCACAGCAGTTGAGATCTGAGGAGCAGGGTAGATGGCAAACTCGAGTTTGCTCTTCTTTCCGTAGTCTACACTCAGTCTTTCCAGGAGAAGAGAGGTGAACCCAGATCCAGTACCTCCACCGAAGGAATGGAAGACAAGGAATCCTTGAAGTCCAGTGCACTGGTCAGCGAGTTTCCTAAGTCTGTCTAGAACGAGATCGACAATATCTTTCCCGACAGTGTAGTGGCCTCGAGCGTAGTTGTTAGCAGCATCTTCCTTTCCAGTGATGAGCTGCTCTGGATGGAAGAGTTGTCTGTAGGTTCCAGTCCTCACTTCGTCAACAACAGTTGGCTCCAAGTCAAGGAACACAGCCCTAGGAACGTGTTTCCCGGCTCCAGTCTCGCTGAAGAAGGTGTTAAAAGAATCATCACCACCTCCTATGGTCTTGTCAGAAGGCATCTGTCCATCAGGCTGGATACCGTGCTCCAGGCAGTAAAGTTCCCAGCAAGCATTTCCAATCTGGACACCAGCTTGACCAATATGAATAGAGATACACTCGCGCTGAAAGTTAAAAGCTTTGAAAATAATATCGAATTACTGTTTGCCGGAACTTATACGGAACAATTTTAATGCTTTTTATACTACTTCTAGGACGGAGATAGACAGAATGAACTTTCAACAACTTCTTTCCGACTTTAACCTAATTAGAATGAAAGTTTATTGCTTTACCATAGTTGGAGAGAAAAATGTAAAAACTAAGACTCAGTAAGAGTAACGACGAACCTCTGAGACAATAATTTTATAATGAACTTGATGTACATTCTCTGGTGTATATTCTCCCTCCTTAAACGTTTGCGCTGCTAACCATAGAGTAACTTGTCGTCTGCAGATTGGGCGAAATAAGGGTCATGTGCCAACACAAGGCGCTCTCATTGGTTGAAAAGGGCGGAGGACCGTCCACGTGACAGCGCGCGTGACCTCTTGGTAACGCGGGACAACATTAGCGTCATCTTGATCACATTAGAGCGGGAGAGATTGTGAGCGAAGTTTCTCGATGATAATTACGGAGTTTATTACTGATTAAAATCAAACCGATTAAGCTAGGGCTTTCAAACTAGGCATTTCTCAGTGTTTGGCCAAGACATACTCAGCGGTGGAAATTGAGTCGAATCTGAACCTCATTTCCTGAGATGGAGTTTTAAAAGTGAATCTTACCTTCATGACATCATAAACCCGACCATCCAAATGGTTACACTCATTTATTAGAAGGTATTTTGTAAGGAAACGCAGAATGATAGGCGTGTTATAATAACAGTGGGAAGTAGACTTGTAGTCTCCATTTTAAAGTTGGTGGTACTGATCCGGAAGGTAACACTGCACTGCTATATTATGTAAATCTTACAGAACGCCCTTCAAGGTTATGTTTTTAGTGTCATTAGATGTAGAAAATGTCACATTACGGTAGTTCTTGCCAGTAACTCATGACTGATCGTTTGGAATTTCTCAGGATACGAGAAACTGCCCAGGAAACCTATGAAGATCAACAAGATACCATTTAATGACAGATCCAAACCCTTCCACTCTGTGCGGGACCACGTGACCACGTGACCAGGTTACTGTTTCGAAATATCTCGATTATTAAAGACCCCGTATGGCGTATAGTAGGGCACACCTGATATCTGATAAATGGCAAAAGTGATCTACAAGTCAATGATTTTCTTGGATATAGTTATTGCTTTATTGTAGTTGGACTGTAAGACGGTTATTATGCCAACTACTATAATAAGTAATATAACGAGTAATATAAAGTATAATAAGTAAGTTAATATAAGATAACCGCTGGTAATATAACGAGTAATATAAAGTATAATAAGTAAGTTAATATAAGATAACCGCTGGTAATATAACGAGTAATATAAAGTATAATAAGTAAGTTAATATAAGATAACCGCTGGTAATATAACGAGTAGGTAATATAAAGTATAATAAGTAAGTTAATGCAAGATACCCGCCAGTAACGGGGATCCCACCTCAGACTGTTAGCCATTTCAAGCAATCATTATCTTAATTAAAACTCCTATTTACCTACACTTGACGTGTGTGTACTCACACTAAATGTCTAGGTATATTAGTTCTCAGTCTAGCAGTTTAAAATTTGCCAAGATTTAATCGCATAAATATATTTTGTGGTTACTCGCTAAGAAGTTCTGCAGAAATCCTGACAAATTATTATGCCTGGTTCACTGAAACATCACTTCTGTTATTAAGTGAGTGTAGTAATTTGATATGGGATACTGACTACCGAATAGGCGGGGAATGCGGCTCTTGCTGCTGTAAAAACTAAAAACCTTAAAAGTCTGAGTAAGTACCTATGTAATGTAATTGCAACCTTTTACACTACATTGCGGACATTATAAAGAGATCCTGTGGCTAGTAGTATACATTTAGTATACACTTAGTGTACATGTGTAAACGGTCCGTGCCCTGAGGGGTCAGGAAGTATGGTGCTATTAATGTGTTACAGTCTTCAAACCTTGAGGGGGGGGGGGGGGGGGGGGGGGGGACTCCTGTTACTCCTTCATAATACATTTTAAATGAACACAGTTAAAAAATAAGTTATTCAATGTTTGAATTCAAGCCAGTGTCACCAGTGGCGTAACGTTGCCTGTTGGCGTCCCCCGCCGAAAATGCGCCCCCCTCTTGGCGCCACCTCCCCTTTTGGCGCCCCTCCCTAAAATTGAGCAAATTAGGTGATTTTAGAGGATACGCCGGTAAAATCTCTAAAGAAGTGTTTTTCTAGAGCAAAACGCGCAGTTTTGCTAGTACATCAGTTAAGTTTTTCAAAATTGTCCCACATTCAAACGACAATTTTACGCCCCCCCCCCCCCCTAAGATTGCGCCCCCCCCCCTAAGATTGCGCCCCCCCCCGCACAGTGCAGCGGGGTCAGCGGGGCCCTTCGTTACGCCAATGAGTGTCACATTGGGTTGCAGGTTGGAGTGTTCACAATTTACACAAAAGTCTGAGAAATTAAGTCGCATACCTTAACTTTGATTTCTCTAAGTCGCACAAGTTCGAATTTGCGCTCCAACTCCTCCACAGTCTGCTCAGTTTCGATTCTCAGTGTGTCTCTGAAGTGGCAATCATCTAATTAGCATAATTACTTAATTAGCATAAACTACATCGCTCTAAATATTCAGCATGCTCCTCTAAATAGAACCGCTAAAAATAATGCCAGAACAGGGATCGAATATAAACCGAATTAAGGCATAATTCCAATAATTTGAGAAGAATGCGTAGAAGGGCATACCTCAGCTGCTTTCGCTCGTTCTTCTGTTTCTGCAACAGGAGCATTTTCTTGTACATATAGGCTGGGGATTTGTCAGCCTTGTCAGTTATCGCTTCTGCTTGTTGCTGTGACAAAGTAAGGATCGTCATTATTTACGTCAAGTATTCTCCAGAAGATTCTATTTTTAGTAATTTAAGTAACCTGATAGGCGGTGATCTCGTAACCGTCGTAATACTTTAAAAGGATACATTTATGTGAAGGTTACGTCTAGTTTATATCTAAGACAACTTGAAATGTAACCAAACGTATGATCTCGAACAGAAAGTTAAGCTGAAATAACAAACTTGGTGCCTAGCTATCAGTCCTTCCTCCATATTAAATAACAAACTTGGTGCCTAGCTATCAGTTCTTCCTCCATATTAAATAACTAACCTGGTGCCTAGCTATCAGTTCTTCCTCCATGTGAAATAACTAACCTGGTGTCTAGCTATCAGTTCTTCCTCCATGTGAAATAACTAACCTGGTGCCTAGCTATCAGTTCTTCCTCCATGTTAAATAACTAACCTGGTGCCTAGCTATCAGTTCTTCCTCCATGTGAAATAACTAACCTGGTGCCTAGCTATCAGTTCTTCCTCCATGTTAAATAACTAACTTGGTGCCTAGCTATCAGTTCTTCCTCCATGTTAAATAACTAACCTGGTGCCTAGCTATCAATTCTTCCTCCATGTGAAATAACTAACCTGGTGCCTAGCTATCAGTTCTTCCTCCATGTTAAATAACTAACCTGGTGCCTAGCTATCAGTTCCTCCTCCATGTGAAATAACTAACCTGGTGCCTAGCTATCAGTTCTTCCTCCATGTTAAATAACTAACCTGGTGCCTAGCTATCAGTTCTTCCTCCATGTTAAATAACTAACCTGGTGCCTAGCTATCAGTTCTTCCTCCATGTTAAATAACTAACCTGGTGCCTAGCTATCAGTTCTTCCTCCATATTAAATAACTAACCTGGTGCCTAGCTATCAGTTCTTCCTCCATGTTAAATAACTAACCTGGTGCCTAGCTATCAGTTCTTCCTCCATGTTAAATAACTAACCTGGTGCCTAGCTATCAGTTCTTCCTCCATGTTAAATAACTAACCTGGTGCCTGGCTATTAGTTCTTCCTCCATGTTAAATAACTAACCTGGTGCCTAGCTATCAGTTCTTCCTCCATGTGAAATAACTAACCTGGTGTCTAGCTATCAGTTCTTCCTCCATGTGAAATAACTAACCTGGTGCCTAGGGGGGGGGTCCAAGGGGAACTTTGGGGAGTTTTGGGGAACTTTTTTTGGGGAACTTCAGGAAACCTGGGGGACTTTCCCAAAGTTCCCCAAAAAATTATCAATGAAACAAATAATTTTGGGGAATTTTGGGGAACTTTTTTTTGGGGAACTTCAGAAAGTTCCCCAAAATTCCCCAAAAAAATTATCATGCCAAAAAAATTATCATGCTGCAAGTATCAACAAGTAAGTTAAGATTATACCTTATAATAACATACATGTTAACATTAATGGGTATTAATGTATATTAGAGAAATTTTGAATAATTTTGAATAATTTTGAATAATTTTGAATAATTTTGAATAATTTTGAATAATTTTGGGGAATTTTGGGGAACTTTGGGGAGTTTTGGGGAACTTTTTTTTGGGGAACTTCAGAAATCTTGGGGGACTTTCCCAAAGTTCCCCAAAGTTCCCCTTGGACCCCCCCCTGCCTAGCTATCAGTTCTTCCTCCATGTGAAATAACTAACCTGGTGCCTAGCTATCAGTTCTTCCTCCATGTTAAATAACTAACCTGGTGCCTAGCTATCAGTTCTTCCTCCATGTCAAATAACTAACCTGGTGCCTAGCTATCAATTCTTCCTCCATGTCAAATAACCAACCTGGTGCCTAGCTATCAGTTCTTCCTCCATGTTAAATAACTAACCTGGTGCCTAGCTATCAGTTCTTCCTCCATGTTAAATAACTAACCTGGTGCCTAGCTATCAGTTCTTCCTCCATGCCCCTCAGTTTCTGCTCGAGTCTGCCGGTCAGAATAGTTTTCTGTCTGTCCTTCTGCTCGTTCAGCTCGCCTATCTTACCCTCCATGTCCTTTAGATGTGCGTCTACCATATCTTTCACTTTCGTGTCTTTTAGCACTCCTCGAGAAGACAGGTCGTCTATCAAGTTCAGCTGAAAAGTGAGAGTTTTAAGAAAATTACATTTTAATACAATCTGAATATCAGTTATAATCTCTCGGGGGTTGGTAATTTTAGCAATATTTTATTTTGAATATTTTATTATTTGATTGTTTCACACTTTTCATATTTCATAATTTTATTACTAGGTGGATCGGAGGTGATGTTATTGAGACTTTGGGCGGCCATAAAACTCCTGTTTTGAAAGTTGTCCTCTGTACTTGTTTCACTGACCCACGCTTTATAGCATTTATACATTTCGGCCCATTTTATATGTTTGTTCGATTTGCTGTACATTTGTAAATTTGCTATTTTGTAAAAGTTTCAAATCAAAAAAAAATCAATGTAGAAGACCTCCATTTTAGCAGCTTAAGGCCGAGTAGAAGAAATATTTGTTGATAAGCCAGAAGAACAAACCTCGACTTTAGTGAGAGAGTTGAGCTGTCCCCTCAGCGTGGCGACCTCCCTGCTCTTCTGAACTTGAAGTGAAGCTAACATTGAGGCTAGTCTTCTCTTCTGGTCTGTCAGGATAGTGCTCTTCTCCTCCATAATATCGTCATGTATTTCCTCAGCTTCGTGTAGGTCCAGGGACTCAACTGATCTGAGCAGGTCCATCCTGTCCTCCTGATGCCGATGCAGAAGGTTCTGGATTGTGTCATCTGTTCTTCCATCCCCCGACTTGAACAGCTGGGGAGAGTCAGTCATTTAATTGTTTGCAATAAACTCAATGAAACTATTCAGCCGAGGTAGTGTATTTATGCAATTTTAAGATTCCAGAACTCCCCTTCGGCAGTAGTGTACAGTGTTCAATGTTCAATGTTCAGTGTTCAATGTTCAGTGTTCAGTGTTCAGTGTTCAGTGTTCAGTGTTCAATGTTCAGTGTTCAGTGTTCAATGTTCAGTGTTCAATGTTCAGTGTTCAGTGTTCAATGTTCAATGTTCAATGTTCAATGTTCAATATTCAGTGTTCAATGTTCAGTGTTCAGTGTTCAATGTTCAATGTTCAGTGTTCAATGTTCAGTGTTCAATGTTCAGTGTTCAATGTTCAATGTTCAGTGTTCAATGTTCAGTGTTCAATGTTCAATGTTCAGTGTTCAATGTTCAGTGTTCAATGTTCAATGTTCAGTGTTCAATGTTCAGTGTTCAGTGTTCAATGTTCAGTGTTCAGTGTTCAGTGTTCAATGTTCAGTGTTCAATGTTCAGTGTTCAATGTTCAGTGTTCAATGTTCAGTGTTCAATGTTCAGTGTTCAATGTTCAATGTTCAGTGTTCAATGTTCAGTGTTCAATATTCAGTGTTCAATGTTCAGTGTTCAGTGTTCAGTGTTCAATATTCAGTGTTCAGTGTTCAGTGTTCAATGTTCAGTGTTCAGTGTTATATGTGACATAGTAGTAGTGTAATTGTGGATCTCACCTCACGTTCGCTGGTTTGGGAATCCATCATTTTCTCGAGTCTCCTCGCTATTTTCGCAGCAAGTCTTTCTTGCTTCTTCCGTTTGTAGCGCAGCTTTTGTACAGTCAATCTGTCAAGTATTCTTGTTATAATTCGTGTGTGGAAGAAGTATTATTGAAAGGGGTGTAGGAAGCGGGGGGAGGGCAGGGGGGGGGGGGGGGGCCTGATTATTGATATCCGAAGTCCGAACAATGTCAAGCTTCGGCACTACTATACTGGTACAATTAGTTCCATTTCAGTGGTGTTATTTCAATAAAACCGCAACCAAAAATCTAAGTTTTCAAAGCCAAATTTTCTGTCAAATATAATGATAGTTTTGTAAAATTAGAAAAGAAATATACTGACCCCTCCTCAAGTTCAAGTAAGTTACGTCGATGTTCTCTCATAACATTATCCCTGGTCTCTTGGTTCATCACTAACTGACTCTCCAGCAGCCGTCTGATAGAGGGTGGGGTTACAATCTAAACAATGGTAATATTTAATGTGACAAAAGTTAACGTCCGAGATAATATGCTAATATGACTAATTAACTTTAGCAGCACTTACTCGACCATCTTTGCCTCCTGTTCTTTGAGAGCAGTTTGTTCCAGTTTGTCAGCCTCTACCTGGCTCTTGATCCGCTCCTCGCTGTCCAGCACTCTCTGCTGGAGCGCACTCTCGATCATCTTTATAGCGCCGTTCTTCTCAGTCTCCAACTTTGTCTGGTCCCGGAAGTTTCTTTGTCTCTGGACCTCTGTTTGACTGCTGCCGATGATGGCTCGTTTGATCAATGTCTCGAATATCTTGTCCTGATTCTCCCTGAACCGTGTAAGACTTTCACTGGTGAAGTGATCCCAAACCATGGCCAGTTCCAGAGCGGTCAGCTCGTCCATCTCGTCGAACAGCTGCTCCTCCTCCATTCTCCGGCCAATGTGGAATCTGATCTTCCTCTCCAGGAACTCGGCCGGACTTATCTCTTTGCGGCTTATCTTGTCGTTGTACTTCTGTTGGAACATCTCATACGCCTCAAGATGAGCGTTCAGCTGCTTCCTTGCCTTGTCCTGAGCTTTAGCCCTGACTGTGTCCCTTACGCTCTCCTCGTAATTCTTCATCACGTCCACCATTGCCGTCTTGTTCTCGTTTGAAGACACGTTGATTAGGTTGAGAAGGTCTTCTCCGTACGATCTCTTGATCAAAGACTCCCTGATGAGCCGGTTGATGGTTTGCTTCATCGAGTTGGAGACACTGGCCATGAGACTGTTGTGATACTTGACACGCTCCTCCTTTATCCTCAGAGTTGCTTCTCTCTTCAGCAGCCTTTCTTCGTGGACGAACTTCTGTCTGCACGCCTCCTCATGGAAAGCTTCGTCAATAACATCAATGTAATGCTTGCTTCTACTGATAAGATCATCCCGCACATCGTTGTTCAAATTAGCCTCTTCGGCGATAGATAAAAAGAAGTCCTTAACAAGTAGGTTCAAAGACACCCTCTTCCGAATTATAAAGTCTCGTCGGAGTTTCTCCCTCTCTTCCTCCAACTGCAGCCTCAATAGAACCTCAAAGTCAGTTCTCTGTACCTCGTGCTGCCTTTTGAGGAGCTCTATAAAGTCCACTCTCTCCTGGAAGGGGACGCTCTGAAGCACAGTAACCAGATTGTCAAGCTCGTCGTCCTGTTGATCCATTAACTTCTCCTGAGCCGATTTGGCAGAGTGTTGAAGTTCAGACTCAAGCTCTCTCTCCCTAGCCATATGTTGTTCAGTCAGCTCTACATCAGCAGCCTTGTAGTCCTTGTCCAGATGCTGGAAGAGTTTCTTGCCCTCTGTTTTCAGGTCCTGAAACAGTAACGATCCACCCCACGCTCTCCAGAATGAGCTGTCTCTGCTGCTTGGCCATGTCCTCCTCCACAGCAACCGTATGTGCAATATCCAGAGTATCTAATGAAGTCAGGGACGCTTTGTAGTCCTTCTCAGTCAGGGCCTGCACCAGATCATCAGCGAGCTCAGCAGCCAGGAGGAGGTCTCCTCTCTCCTTGATCCAGGACTCCAGCCTGACAGCAGGGCGGCGGGAGTACAACTCAAACTTAGTCGGAAGTGGTAAAACAGTGGTTCTTTTGCAGCAGACTAGCATGATCAGCATGGCAAATAGGACTCCGATAAAGAAGCAGATAGCAGCCGCCAAGCCCCACCCTCAGGTTCCTAGCACTGTAGGTCTGATGAAGGGCGACAGGGTACCGGTAAGGGGAGGTGTAATCTCTAGAGTCCTCGTACTTTGGGGGCAGGGCTTTATATTTAGCAACAACTTCCAGCTCATCACTACTATCGAGATATGTCACGAAACTAAAAGAGAAGGTCTCTTCAGGGTTGTGAACCTCCTGGTACCAGTAATACTGATGGTGAATAGGACGTTCTAGAGTGTCATCGTCCCCCCACACTTTCTGCTTCTCCTCACTGTAACTATTCTTGACGAAAGGAATCTTCTCGTTGAAAGTAACATAATAAGTAACATTGTAAGCGGTAGATCGGCTAAGTCCTGGCTGCTGTATGGCTGTCACATTCCAGTGGATTTGTCCGCCATCCTCGAACGTGTCAAATAGAAAGCCGATATCAGGCTCGCCTACCACCATACTGAACACCTTATCGTAGGCATAATCGTTCACGACAAAGGACCACGTAACGTTAATGATGTCCCCTGCATCCAAGAACTCAACGTCGTTCATCTTGAAATGTATCCGGAAAGTAACCACGTCCTTGTCCGTCACTGCTTCGTGGAGATCGTTAACAAACGGAAAGAAAGAAAATCCGTATCCTGCAACAAGAGGGAGACGCTCTGTATCTATATCGTAGGTCGGCTCGCTCAGTTCGGGGTCGATCTCAACCTCAAGGATCTCCAGAGCGTTGAAGTATTTTAAATCATTTGACTGTCTCTTCTGTCTATTGTAAGTGGTTTTTTCGCTGCCATGGGCTTCTGCAGTGAGCTCAACTTTCAATTCGTCATGATTCCTTGAGGGATCTTCATGGGGAAGTCGATAGTGCGGTTCTCACCCACCACCATGTTGGTGGGGAAGTAAGCTGCCAGACCGGGTTGTTCCATCTCAAACGTGGGGATCATCATTACAAATTCCAGCTGCGTTTTCCCGAAGTCTTTTACGCAGGGGTCTGGATAATCGTTCTCATACTTTATTATGACAGTGATGTCATCAATGGGACCCACTAGAGCTGATCTGATGATAATGGGAACCATGATGTGGATCTGTTTGCCCACATTCAGCTTCTTGATGAGAGTGAGCCCAGTGTCGATATTCCCTTCATAACTCTCCGGCTTGCTAGCGGGGATATCCATGGTGTCCACAACTGAGTACTCGTCCGTGAACTCAATAGAACTCTGCTCCACCTTCGCCTTCTCTGTATCCTTCTGTTCTACATACAGCTTGACGTTCTGGGCTGCATTAGTCGCGTCCCCCCGGTTAGCGACCCAGATGTGACACTCCGCAATCTCCCCTCCGTTCGCGTGCTGGTCACACTCCCATCTGTAGTCCATCTCCGGTCCTATTATCTCAAAGGTAACGGACGAGGGATACGAGATCTCTATCTCAGTACCATCATCCGCAGCTGGGTGGGTCAGGATAGCATCTATGGTGATGTTAGTACCATGTTTTAGGGGTTTGAACTCGTTCACGACCTCTAGTCTGGTCTCGATGACGATGTCCTTGTAAGAGTTGACAGATTGTCCAGTAGCCTGAACATTGGTAAGCGTGAAAAAGCCAGCTGTCAGGTCCCCGGGGTTCTGGCTCGCAGTGAGGGGCCCGGCTGTTACTCCGCCTGCTTGCCGCACTTCTCCGACATCGTCATCAGGTATCTTTATTATTTCAACGTCCGGGTTGTTACCTCCGAGAGGCCATCTGAGTTCCACCTTCATTGTTGTGAGGTCAGATTTAGGGAAGTCCAGTATAATGTTCACTCCGAGATAAGGTGGCCCGCACGAGTAAAACTCGTCTTTACCGGTGTTCAATTCCATCTTCATGGACAGCCGGGGGATGGAGAGTTCGTTATTCCACTCTATCTGCTGTGACTTGATCTCTTTTCCGTTATCCTCCTTCCACTGTATGAACAGGTTCTGTCTAAAAATAGACGCGGGTCTCAACGAGCTAGACATTCTCATTGTGATGTTACAATCCATCTCGCTCGTTACTCCGAAACCTGTGATCTCCACCTGCATAAGCTTAGAGGACCCAGTAGTTGTCTCCGTCAAGGAATTATCTCCGCACGTCACATAGCTGGAGGCCTGGTCCTTGTTATAGGCTAGTCCGGACAATCCTATGAAGTTCAATTCCAGCTGAAATAGTAAACGTATCACCAACCAATACCAGAAGTATTAGACTTTTGAATATCCCTAGATTTAAAATTAAATTTATCAGAAAGATAGGAAATAGCAAAATATGACAGTGTGCTGACCTCATCTCCGACAAGTGTGTTAGGATGCCCTGCAGTAAGTTTAGCGGTTACCCTGAAAGTGACCGCCTCGCCCGCCTCAACTTCATCTCGATCCGAACTGAATTCCGTCCGAAGGAGGGTGCTCTGAGAACACACCAGTCCAACAGTGACTATTTGTATTAGTGCCTGGGGATATCGTGTGTTATTTAAAGGTACACTACGAGCGAAAAGACGACTATTCGAACAACACCTTAACACTTAGAAATATCTCAATCGCAAAGAATCAGCCTTAACCGTGCGTAATCAGCCATATTTACCTGCAGAAACTTCATATCTGCAAAGCGAAATGCAAAATCAGTGAAAAGTTACTGTATAGTAACAAGTAAGATTGTTGATAAGCAAACAGCTGGAGTCCAGGTAACGAGATCACGTGACCAGACCACGTGACCAGTATAACGTCACGTGACCAGTATTACGTCACGTGACCAGTGCTTCAACGGGTCACGTGACCAGTATTCCGTCACGTGACCAGTATTACGTCACGTGACCAGTGCTTCAACGGGTCACGTGACCAGTATTACGTCACGTGACCATCAGTTGTGCTGTTGATAAGCAAGACTGCTGCACTGCAGAAAGTTAAAAAGCTCCTTTCTTGTCAAAGCGGTGTAATTCCAAAACACTACATCTTTAATGTAGTTGATCTACAGCGAGTGATCAATGAGAGTATACAAGTTAACATGTGCAGCAAGGTGTGTTAACATGTGTAGCAAGGTGTGTTAACATGTGCAGCAAGGTGTGTTAACATGTGCAGCAAGGTGTGTTAAACAGCAATTAATGTACTTATTCAGCAAGGTGTGTTAAACAGCAATTAATGTACTTATTCAGCAAGGTGTGTTAAACAGCAATTAATGTACTTATTCAGAAAAGTAAGTTAACAGCTGACAGCCAGATTCTATGTAAAATGTTTTGAAGCTACTTGATAAGTAGTTTAATAACACTGCTAAGCAATCAAATAATGGGTGGTTAAGTGTTAGAGGTTGGCAAGGTTCTCCCCCAAATGTAGTGCAGTGTACCCCCAAATGTAGTGTACCCCCAAATGTAGTGTAGTGTACCCCCAAATGTAGTGTAGTGTACCCCCAAATGTAGTGTAGTATACCCCCAAATGTAGTGTAGTGTACCCCCAAATGTAGTGTAGTGTACCCCCAAATGCTAATGTAGTGTAGTGTACCCCCAAATGTAGTGTAGTGTACCCCCAAATGTAGTGTAGTGTACCCCCAAATGTAGTGTAGTGTACCCCCAAATGTAGTGTAGTGTACCCCCAAATGTAGTGTAGTGTACCCCCAAATTTAGTGTAGTGTACCCCTCAAATGTAGTGTAGTGTACCCCCAAATGTAGTGTAGTGTACCCCCAAATGTAGTGAAGTGTACCCCCAAATGTAATTTAGTGTACCCCCAAATGTAGTGTAGTGTACCTCCCAAATGTAGTGTAGTGTACCCCCCAATGCAAATGTAGTGTAGTGTACCCCCAAATGTAGTTAAGTGTACCCCCAAATGTAGTTTAGTGTACCCCCAAATGTAGTGTAGTGTACCCCCCAAATGTAGTGTAGTGTACCCCCAATGCAAATGTAGTGTAGTGTACCCCCCAAATGTAGTGTAGTGTACCCCCAAATGTAGTGTAGTGTACCCCTAAATGTAGTGTAGTGTACCCCCAAATGTAGTGTAGTGTACCCCCAAATGTAGTGTAGTGTACCCCCAAATGTAGTGTAGTGTACCCCCAAATGTAGTGTAGTGTACCCCCAAATGTAGTGTAGTGTACCCCTCCAATGTAGTGTAGTGTACCCCCAAATGTAGTTTAGTGTACCCCCAAATGTAGTGTAATGTACCTCCCAAATGTAGTGTAGTGTACCCCCAAATGTAGTTTAGTGTACCCCCAAATGTAGTGTAGTGTACCCCCCAAATGTAGTGTAGTGTAACCCCAAATGTAGTGTAGTGTACCCCCAAATGTAGTGTAGTGTACCCCAAATGTAGTTTAGTGTACCCCCAAATGTAGTGTAGTGTACCCCCAATGCACATGTAGTGTAGTGTACCCCCCAAATGTAGTGTAGTGTACCCCCAAATGTAGTGTAGTGTACCACCAAATGTAGTGTAGTGTACCCCCCAAATGTAGTGTAGTGTACCCCCAAAATTTAGTGTAGTGTACCCCCAAATGTAGTGTAGCGTACCCCCAAATAAAGTGTAGTGTACCCCCCAGTATTGTATTGCACCGTAGGCCATGTCACGCACTAAAATATCAGCCCCAAATATGTGATATCCCAAAATAGATTCATTACAGATTAATTCTTCAGAAGCCGCCAACTAACACTAACCAGAAACAGTCCTTAATTTCACCCAAACACGTCAGTAAGGTGTCACGTCACTGCAGTGACGTCATTGCAGTGACGTCATTGCAGTTTCATCAGACATTAGATCCACACACCAGCCTGGCCGCCCATTACAAATGTTTTAAATTAACAGGTTTTCGTTCGATCCCAACGTTTTCTGATATATCGATAACGTCGAAATAAAATTCCCTTCCGGTAAGGTGGCTCTAGTTTATCAGATCAGTGGAGTAGTGTATAAACTGCTGTTTCCCTGCTTTACACATACTTTATGACGTCATGACACACGTAGTGTCGTCCCAACGTGGAAATGGCATCCGAAGGTTGCTGGCCGTCCTTTGAGGTAATCAGTAATCTGTGTGCTTATCCTCGCTACAAGCTTTGAAATTTGATTAAACTTCGTATATATGAGCCCCATTCAGGGATTTGTATTACAGTTTCTTTAATTATCACTTTGTTCGTTTAGTCCTGTACTTGTAAGTAGCCTGTAGAGTTGTACTTGTACACTTTCCAGCCGCAAATAAGTAGTCTCCTAACCCAAACTACTGCTAGATCGGAACTAAGTCCGATCTTACTCACAGCTCTTAGTAATAGTCTGCTAACCCAACACTCCCACCACTCCCACAACTACCACTACTCCCACTACTACTACTCCCACAACTACTACAACTCCCACTACAACTACAACTCCCACTACTACTCCCACTACTCCCACTACTCCCACAACTCCTACTACACCCACTACTACTACCACTACCACAACTACTACAACTCCCACTACAACTACAACTCCCACTACTACTCCCACTACTCCCACTACTCCCACTACTCCCACTACTACTACCACTCCCACAACTACCACTTCTCCCACTACTACTACCACTACCACAACTACTACAACTCCCACTACAACTACAACTCCCACTACTACTCCCACTACTCCCACTACTCCCACTACTACTACTACTCCCACAACAACTACAACTCCCACTACTACTCCCACAACTCCTACAACTCCCACTACAACTACAACTCCCACTACTACTACCACTACTCCCACTACTACTACTCCCACAACTACTACAACTCCCACTACAACTACAACTCCCACTACTACTCCCACTACTCCCACTACTCCCACAACTCCTACTACACCCACTACTACTACCACTACCACAACTACTACAACTCCCACTACAACTACAACTCCCACTACTACTCCCACTACTCCCACTACTCCCACTACTCCCACTACTACTACCACTCCCACAACTACCACTACTCCCACTACCACAACTACTACAACTCCCACTACAACTACAACTCCCACTACTACTCCCACTACTCCCACTACTCCCACTACTCCCACTACTCCCACTACTCCCACAACAACTACAACTCCCACTACTACTCCCACAACTCCCACTACTCCCACTACTACTACTACTCCCACAACAACTACAACTCCCACTACTACTCCCACAACTCCTACTGCACCCACCACTCCCACTACTCCCACTACTCCCACTACTCCCACTACTCCCACAACTCCCACAACTCCCACAACTCCCACTACTCCCACTACTACAACTCCCACTACTCCCACTACTCCCACTACTACAACTCCCACTACTCCCACTACTCCCACAACTCCCACTACTCCCACTACTCCCACTACTACTACTACTCCCACAACAACTACAACTCCCACTACTACTCCCACAACTCCTACTGCACCCACCACTCCCACTACTCCCACTACTCCCACTACTCCCACTACTCCCACAACTCCCACAACTCCCACTACTCCCACTACTACAACTCCCACTACTCCCACTACTCCCACTACCCCACTACCCCACTACACCCACTTCTCCCACTACTCCCACTACTCCCACAACTCCCACTACTCCCACTACTCCCACTACTACTACTACTCCCACAACAACTACAACTCCCACTACTACTCCCACAACTCCTACTGCACCCACCACTCCCACTACTCCCACTACTCCCACTACACCCACTACTCCCACAACTCCCACAACTCCCACAACTCCCACTACTCCCACTACTACAACTCCCACTACTCCCACTACTCCCACTACTACAACTCCCACTACTCCCACTACTCCCACAACTCCCACTACTCCCACTACTCCCACTACTACTACTACTCCCACAACAACTACAACTCCCACTACTACTCCCACAACTCCTACTGCACCCACCACTCCCACTACTCCCACTACTCCCACTTCTCCCACTACTCCCACTACTCCCACAACTCCCACTACTCCCACTACTACAACTCCCACTACTCCCACTACTCCCACTACCCCACTACCCCACTACACCCACTTCTCCCACTACTCCCACTACCCCACTACCCCACTACTCCCACTTCTCCCACTACTCCCACTACTCCCACTACTCCCACTACTACAACTCCCACTACTCCCACTACACCCACTACTCCCACTACACCCACTACTCCCACTACTCCCACTACTCCCACTACTCCCACAACTCCCACTACTGCAGAATGAGACGCACATGTTTTGGAGTACTGCTCCTTTATACCGCGTTACTATGGTTACTGCTCCTGATATACATTGTAACACCCACTACTGCAGGATGAGAGCGTTACTATGGTTACTGCTCCTGATATACATTGTCGAGAGTACGGACTATAGAAAGTGCCACCACATTCGGAAGCGTAAAGAACTGAGATGTCATGGGAATAATCTTGGAGCTGTGCCTGCAAATATACCCGCAGATCTTGTTAAATTGTGAGTACACTGAGCTGTGTTCAAACACTCAGGCGAGTGTAACCGTTACAGTTTACAATACAATAATACCTTTATCATTATTTAGTTTACAAGCCATTAGTAACCCTAGAAATAATCAGACTGATTGATGGACGCATAGTTAACCGTATCATTAGAAAATTAATTTTGAGAGATACCATCGTAATATCTTAGTTGCCAGAAAATATAGATTTTAGTTTGTACACTGCTTTTCTTAAACCACTCCATCTTGAAGCTAACTACTACTGTGTTGCTTTGTTGTTGTTGTTTACTATTTAATTGCGAGTAGACCAGAATTACCTCTTGAATTTAAAACCGTAGACTATGCTCAGGTCTTACAGCACTAATACTATGGTAACTATGGTAACTAGTAGTGTAACTATGGTTACTAATCAGCAATTTGATTATCAACGAATCAAGTAGTTAACTTAACTGTGTTTCAGAGAAATAAAGAACGACGATTTAAGCAGCGGGTTTGAGTTTCCAGAGTTGACGAGACTAAGAAAGCTGTGAGTACCGGAGAAGCTAACTTTTTAGTTAGGGACACCAAAACACCTTGCTAATTGCTAATTATTAATTATCAGTATATTATAATTGCTGAATAAAAAGTAAGTTGCTGAATAAAAAATTGGGAAAATTCTGAAATGAAACTAGTAAATTATGTTAGGTGGCTGACGAACGTAAACATAGGAAAAGAATTTCCGAAACTCGCTTTCGCGAAACTAAAGCTCCTACAAGACTTGTAAGTACTTCTTCACCTTGTTCTCAATACTTACTTACTTTAACTTACTTGATATTTCGTACATTTACTTTAACCATTTAAGAAACTGTTTACACCATTAAAATATTCAAAACCCCTAAAAGAAATCAAGTCATCCTAAAATGGTGATCAGTACAGATCAAGACAGCTAGAGTTAAAATTTGTTTCTCCAAGCAACTCTATCATCGGCTTATATCTTAAGCTTATTAAGATCATTCAAAGAGTTAAGTTTTAAACCTCTACGGGTCAAATCATTCACAATAATCTTGAACAAATTCTTACGATGCGCACCGACGCGCCCTTTACAGTTTGTTGTGACAGCAAACTTTAACGCTAATGCAGCGGGGGAGTCATCAGCACTACGCAAGATATGGCCTAGGAGCTTCCACCTTGCTTTAGGGACACGATCTGATAGCTTTACTGAGTTACATCTTAGGTATAAGTTTGCATTGGATATTGTTCCATGAGGCCAATAAATGTTCAGTAATGATCTAAGGTGTTTTCTATGGCAAATGTCTAGTTTTTCTAGTGACTTTGCAGTAGGACACCAACTACTGCAATTGTACATGATGATTGATACAATTTGAGCTTCCTATACTGCTATCTTTCTGGTAACGGAGATATTCTGCTGAGACCAGATCTTGGTGAACTTATAGAAGGCATTGTTCCCAGCAATGCATCGAGCAGCTATATCACTTTCACTACACAACAATGACCCAAGAATCTTACTCTTCCGCCAATCTTCATTTCCACGTAACATGGTATCATCACGACCAGGGATTGTTTCCCCAACAGGAGCGAGGAAAACATGGGTACATTCTGTTTTCTCTGTGTTAATGAACAGGTTAAACTCCTTGAAGACTTCCTTAGCTATTGGTAGGATAGCTTCTAAGGATTCTTTTTCCACGTTCATGAAGTTACAATCATCTGAATACGCTGACTCCAGCTTTAACCAGCTGTTAATTAAGTTAAATAACAAAGACTATCAAATAAATAATCTTTAAATAATCCCACACTTCAGGAGGATAACGTATTTGCCCAGTGCTCGGAAGAACTACACAGTGACCATTCACCCAGAGGCTTTTCACATGATGAAGAAACTTTCTACAGTGAGACTGATGAACTTGGGTATTCCAGAACTTCCGGAATATATGTTCAGAGACAGTAAGCAGCTCAGACACATGTGAGTGCCTAGTAACATTGGGGGGGGGGGGGGGGGACCATAGTAACCATATAGGGGTGGTAACCATAGTAATCATTGTAATCAGATAGGGGGGGGGGGGGGGGGGGGGAGAGGACCAAGAATTAGGATAAAAACATGTAATTGGTATGACGTATGAGTCAAAAGGGAAACAAAAATAAATTCAGATATGTGAACGGGATGCCAATTGAGACTATACGAAGCAATACTTTCGCACCATTGGAAAGAGTTCAACAGCTGTGAGTTTTTAATAGTACTTACTTCTAAATCTGATAATCTTTTAACAAGTATTAAACTTATCATCAGAAACAATTATTCCATTTGTAAAATCAGTAAAGTTACAATATACTGTATATTATAATAGTAGGCACGGGTTACACTAGTATTATATAATACACTTACAATATCAGTAATATTATAACCATAGTAACCATAATACTCCCCCAGAAATTTGATGCACAACAAAATCTCAACAATAGAAGAAGGAACTTTTGACTGCATGGACGCAACCTACAGAGACTCTAGAATGTAATAACGCACGCACGCACGCACGCACGCACGCACGCACGCACGCACGCACGCACGCACACAGCACGCACACAGCACACAGCACACAGCACACACCCACACACACACACACACACACACACACACACACACACACACACACACACACACACACACACACACACACACACACACACACACACACACACACACACACACACACACACACACACACACACACACACACACACACACACACACACACACACACACACACACACACACACACACACACACACACAATTAATTCATTCGTGTAACAATTTGAAAGTTTATTGATAAAAAAATAGTAACAGAATCATGAACTTTGCCTCCACAGTTCACCACGGCACCTCTTTTGGATACCGTGTGTTCCGTTTTGTGCCATCCTCTCTGCCGTTCTCGCGTTTGCGCTCACCCACTCCTCAGTGGGCTGTTCATTTGACAGAGTTACTGGCTGGCACTTCCATCATTTTCTCACTCACCATCACTGCCAAATCAAATTTATGCAATCAAAATCACTATACACCCACGATCATATGATCTAAACACAAAGCTTTGAAATATACTTTTTCTGTTTGAGATTTGAATAACGTTACTGTAATGGTCGAAATTATATTTTAAATGTTCAAAAAATGAACATATTGCCGTGTTTCAGATATCTGTCAAACAATAGACTCCGGACCATACCAGAAGTGGACAGCATAAGTCGTACACAAATGTAAGGTTTGTTTAGCTTAGACAATAACCAAAACAGTTTATACAGAATTGTGTAAGGTTTGTTTAGCTTAGACAAAAACCAAAACAGTTTATACAGAATTGGTTTTAAGTTTTCTATCTAACAACCCAGCATTGTGGGATCAGTCAAGTACAACTTCACAAATCTTAGAGGCCACTTTAACTGTGCTCAGCTGTGCTTGTATTATATTATAAGCTTCATTTTGGATAGTTGTCAGCAATATTTAATCTAGTGTGAGTTTTGACGTTAAATAGATAATAAATATATCATATTATATATTTTTGAGTAAACATTGGCTGGTACTTCGGGCCGGTCCCCAGCAAACAAAAAAAGTGTTATTGAATCTCTTGTAATGTACTGTTTCAGAATGATACAAGATAACCCAATCTCTTGTAATGTACTGTTTCAGAATGATACAAGATAACCCGATCTCTTGTAATGTACTGTTTCAGAATGATACAAGATAACCCGATCTCTTGTAATGTACTGTTTCAGAATGATACAAGATAACCCAATCTCTTGTAATGTACTGTTTCAGAATGATACAAGATAACCCGATCTCTTGTAATGTACTGTTTCAGAATGATACAAGATAACCCGATCTCTTGTAATGTACTGTTTCAGAATGATACAAGATAACCCGATCGTTTGCGACTGTACTCTCGTCATACCAAGCAATTTTAACGACAGAAAAGCTGTATGCGAGGAACCATCCAGCCTTAAAGAAACGTTTATACTTGACTTGAAGGGGAAAGCAATCCAGTGTGGTACGTTTTCAAATACGCTAAAACACGGAAAAATTAGGTTAATCTGAAACTGTTGTCATCATTATCCATGCTGCGTTGCAGTGGGTTCCTACGTGAGTTGCTAAGCAGGTTGCTAGGTGGTTTGCTAGGTGGGTTCCTACGTGAGTTGCTAAGCAGGTTGCTAGGTGGTTTGCTAGGTGGGTTCCTACGTGAGTTGCTAAGCAGGTTGCTAGGTGGTTTGCTAGGTGGGTTCCTACGTGAGTTGCTAAGCAGGTTGCTAGGTGGTTTGCTAGGTGGGTTCCTACGTGAGTTGCTAAGCAGGTTGCTAGGTGGTTTGCTAGGTGGGTTCCTACGTGAGTTGCTAAGCAGGTTGCTAGGTGGTTTGCTAGGTGAGTTCCTACGTGAGTTGCTTAACTAATTTTCTTGTCAGTGTGTCACGGTCCTGATATTGTACACGGAGAAGCTGACCACGACTCTTCTCTACAGCCGGGGGAATACCTGAAGATCAGCTGTCACACAGGGTACAGTCTGCAGGTACTGCCCAGTGTGCAGTGTCAGGAGGATGGCACTTTCGGGGATACTGCCCTGCCCGAGTGTATAGGTAACCATAGTTACCATATTTAGTGTAGTACCTGAGTGTATAGGTAACCATAGTAACCATATTTAGTGTAGTACCCGAGTGTATAGGTAACCATAGTAACCATATTTAGTGTAGTACCTGAGTGTATAGGTTCGTACTTAAGTGTAGTACCTGAGTGTATAGGTTCGTACTTTAGTGTAGTACCTGAGTGTATAGGTTCGTACTTTAGTGTAGTACCTGAGTGTATAGGTAACCATAGTAACCATATTTAGTGTAGTACCTGAGTGTATAGGTTCGTACTTTAGTGTAGTACCTGAGTGTATAGGTTCGTACTTTAGTGTAGTACCTGAGTGTATAGGTTCGTACTTTAGTGTAGTACCTGAGTGTATAGGTTCGTACTTTAGTGTAGTACCTGAGTGTATAGGTTCGTACTTTAGTGTAGTACCTGAGTGTATAGGTTCGTACTTTAGTGTAGTACCTGAGTGTATAGGTTCGTACTTTTAAAGAATCTCCCAACAGAAGATCGAGTAGAGCCGGAGGAGCTGGAGGACGGATCACTTCTGATAATCAGCAATGCTTTCTCAGTCTACCCAAACCCAATCACTCTGAGATGTCCTACTGACACTGTCGTGAAAAGTAGGTTTAACTTTTAGATTTAATAATCCGTCTCAAGGAGCAGAATATTGGTAGTCATGGAGACAAACATTCCTTATCACAACTAGTATTACTTTATTCCTGTATCATTCTAAATCTAGTAATATCTATCTTATTATTATAAATCTAGGTTGCAAGTGTGTGGAGTTTTACTGTCAAGGAGTGGTTTTAGAAGACACTTCTTGTAGAGTGTACGCTGCTCCGGGGAACGCTACTAAAGGAGAACTGATCTGTGTCCCTACTGGCCTCTTACTGGAACATTATACCTACGAATATACTGAAAACTTCGAACATTACGCCAAATGCAAGCCCTACTACCAAATGACTGCCTGCACGAATGTAAGTGACTTATAATATAGCAGTCCTAAAACCATGGTAACCATGGTAACCATATAAAACCATAAGGGTCTCTAAAGGTCGAGTCCTTAACAAATTGTAAATTACATTGAGAGTAATATATTAAGAAAGAATTATTCAGCTTATTGTTGCTGAAAGTTCTGCCCGCCAAAATATAAACTGATGTTGAGAAACCTTTGTTTGGGGACCGGTTTTTGATACACCGGCCAATGTTTACAAAATCATATGATACATAACAATATAATTTTATTTAATATAGGTGAAAATGAGAATTGAAAATGATGGTGTAACCTTTATCATTTAATCTTAAAAACCAAAACCTTTAAAATCAAAACTTGCATATTATATGATTTATTAAAAACACAGTAAAAAATAATTTGATTTGATACGACAGATGATCACACGCACTGTTTCTAGGCCGACTGATCCATTACATTTGCTTACATCTTATTAATATGTAACTAGTAGTGTAACTATGGTAACTAGTAGTGTATATATATATAAAACGCTACTTGCGTTGGTGAAACCAGGACCTTGCCAATATTTCAATGTTTCAAACATTTTCAGTACAACCCAATGACTAGAGTAGCTACTGATCATGGAGTTCTGGATCAAGATATGAGCGGAATATGTAGAGTTGACTGCGGTAACATTGACTGTGACCTCTACATAAGATGCTTAATCATTATCGGTATGTTTTTTCACATTAATTCTCAAAGAAAAGTTCCAAGAAAAGTTTCAAATGAAATACAACACACGCACTATATAATGCTGTGCTTCGTTGTAGAGGACTATATTCTCGAGAGATAGAGGACAGAAGATTCTCCTTAATTTCTCTAAAATGTGCTCAGAAAAGAAGAAATGTGACAAGTTCTCCATCTATATGGGAAGTGTAACTAAAGAAGGAGTGGAAATGACAGCCTCAACAAAGTTCGAGGAGGGAGATGTAGTGACCATTACGTTAGTAGTAGTAGTAGTAGTAGTAACCATAGTAACCATAGTAACCATAGTAACCATAGTGACCATAGTAACCATAGTAATCAGATAGTAGTGGGGGTGATTTATTCGAACACTTTTAATCGATAAACCACAATATAGGAAACTAAGACACTGTTACTATGGTTACTAAGAAACTATAAAAGTAAACTAAGACACTGTTACTATGGTTACTAAGAAACTATAAAAGTAAACTAAGACACTGTTACTATGGTTACTAAGAAACTATAAAAAGTAAACTAAGACACTGTTACTATGGTTACTAAGAAACTGTAAAAAGTAAACTAAAATCTTGCAGGTGTGACGAGGGGTATGAGTTTGACTTGCTGGACGATGTGTACCTGACATCTGATGAGACACAAGCTACTTTAACCTGCATCGAGGGAGAGATCTACGAACCTCCAGAGATTCCAATGTGCTTCGAAAGTAAGCAAAACATCCTCACCTAGCAACCTACATAGCAACACAAGCAACACAAGCAACACAAGCAAAACATCCTCTCACCCTTCTCTTCTTCGCCTGAGATTGTGCTAGCTTCTTTTGCAATTCCACTGTCATGGTAACTGCACAAGGTTACCATGGTAACAGGTGTTTGCAATGCCACTGATCGAGATATTGAGCCGGCACAATTTCAGGCGCAGAAGACGAGAGCCCCGGGCCCGTGCAGCCTCCTTGTATTTTATGTGAAAATGAGACAGAGTTACCGTTACAGTTCACAGGGAACGAGGGGACCCATTTGACAACCTCCTCTCCCATTTTGCTGGGAATCATCACAGAGGATGCTCCATACGTTTTCCAGCCGTTAGATGAAACTGAGGAGGACTTCAATCAACCAAAAAACAAACTGCCAGAATATTTAACCACTCCAACCATGGACCCACTAAATTAGGGGCAAACCATTTCAACCATAAGCCCACCGAAATTGAGAGAAATATAGCTTTATTAGAGTTTTATATCCAGGAGTAGTACTACTACTAGCTCCTACTATCCCACCAGAATAGTAGCCGACACTTATAGTTACCATAGTTACACTACTAGTTACAGCAAACTCATATCCTAATACCATAATTTGTGGACTTTTCATCCTTCGCTGCTTCAGTTTAAGTCTGGGTTAAGTGCTTAAGTATGTAAAACTATGTAATAGGCGAAGAAATGACGAGGAGTGAAAAGCCACACACTTAAAGACTGGGCTTAATATAATGACAGCTAATTACAGCTAATGACAGCTAATGACTAAAATGTTATTCTTAGTGTTTGGGTAATTGGATTACCGATAACACCTACTACTACTATTTCTTATTAGAGCTGACTGGTTCGAAATCAGACTTTTTAGAACATTGTCGTTACATTTAATTTCGTCAATTTACATAATACATAATACGGATAATTTGAATTAAAAATAATTCCACTAAACCCTGCAATCTTGAATACTATCAGTGTAATTTGGTAAAGCATTTACAGATTATTTCAGTTTTTGTCTTCGCCCAGAAAAAGACAGTTTGCAGTACGTAACCTATATTCTATATTCTTACAATGATCTATTTAATCACAAACTCTATAATCTACACTGTGCTTATATACAATATCCTCAGTAATTCCTGAGTGCGAACTGACGCGAATAGAGAACGTAGTAGCAAGTCCGGGCTGGACAGTGTTCGAGGAGCACACAATAACACTGACTTGCGGGGAGGGGTACGAGGGGGAGGAGGTGGTTGTGGAGTGTCAGTACGGGGGCGTCTTCCAGCAGCCCCAGATACACTGTCAGGAGAGAGGTGAGTGTGCCCCAGATACACTGTCAGGAGAGAGGTGGGTGTGCCCCAGATACACTGTCAGGAGAGAGGTGGGTGTGCCCCAGATACACTGTCAGGAGAGAGGTGAGTGTGCCCCAGATACACTGTTAGGAGAGAGGTGGGTGTGCCCCAGATACACTGTTAGGAGAGAGGTGAGTGTGCCCCAGATACACTGTCAGGAGAGAGGTGGGTGTGCCCCAGATACACTGTCAGGAGAGAGGTGGGTGTGCCCCAGATACACTGTCAGGAGAGAGGTGAGTGTGCCCCAGATACACTGTCAGGAGAGAGGTGAGTGTGTCCCAGATACACTGTCAGGAGAGAGGTGAGTGTGCCCCAGATACACTGTCAGGAGAGAGGTGAGTGTGCTCCAGATACACTGTCAGGAGAGAGGTGAGTGTGCCCAAGATACACTGTCAGGAGAGAGGTGAGTGTGCCCAAGATACACTGCCAGGAGAGAGGTGAGTGTGCCCCAGATACACTGTCAGGAGAGAGGTGAGTGTGCCCCAGATACACTGTCAGGAGAGAGGCGAGTGTGCCCCAGATACACTGTCAGGAGAGAGGTGAGTGTGCCCCAGATACACTGCCAGGAGAGAGGTGAGTGTGCCCCAGATACACTGCCAGGAGAGAGGTGAGTGTGCCCCAGATACACTGTCAGGAGAGAGGTGAGTGTGCCCCAGATACACTGCCAGGAGAGAGGTGAGTGTGCCCCAGATACACTGCCAGGAGAGAGGTGAGTGTGCCCCAGATACACTGTCAGGAGAGAGGTGAGTGTGCCCCAGATACACTGTCAGGAGAGAGGTGAGTGTGCCCCAGATACACTGTCAGGAGAGAGGTGAGTGTGCCCCAGATACACTGTCAGGAGAGAGGTGAGTGTGCCCCAGATACACTGTCAGGAGAGAGGTGAGTGTGCCCCAGATACACTGCCAGGAGAGAGGTGAGTGTGCCCCAGATACACTGCCAGGAGAGAGGTGAGTGTGCCCCAGATACACTGTCAGGAGAGAGGTGAGTGTGCCCCAGATACACTGCCAGGAGAGAGGTGAGTGTGCCCCAGATACACTGCCAGGAGAGAGGTGAGTGTGTCCCAGATACACTGTCAGGAGAGAGGTGAGTGTGCCCCAGATACACTGTCAGGAGAGAGGTGAGTGTGCCCCAGAGATTGTTAAAATCTGAAGTAAGATGGACGGGATTCTCCCTGCTACTCCTAGTATTTGTAACAAGTGTTACCCTCAGTAACAAGTGTTACCCTCAGTAACAAGTGTTACCCTCAGTAACAAGTGTTACCCCCAGTAACGAGTGTTACCCCCAGTAACGAGTGTTACCCTCAGTAACAAGTGTTACCCTCAGTGACAGTGCAATGTCCGATAAGACCTATCCCGCACACAGTGTTAACCCTACCGGACAGTAGTGTGTTGGAAGAGCGCTCAGTGCTAGAGGGCACTATCCTCCTCGTATCTTGTGAGGAGGGGTACGAAATCAGCAACAACAACAACAACAACACTAACATCACCTGCCTTGCTACTGGCAAGATGAGCGCGGAGATCCCTTCCTGCACTGAAGTTATAGGTGGGTCTCACTTTTAGAATTTGTACTGAGGTTATAGGTGGGTCTCACTTTTAGAATTTGTACTGAAGTTATAGGTTGGTCTCACTTTTAGAAGTTGTACTGAAGTTATAGGTGGGTCTCACTTTTAGAATTTGTACTGAAGTTATAGGGAGGTTTCCTTTAAAATGATCCTCTTCCCAATATGGAGCAGTCATACACTAAACTACAATAAATATGAAGAATACACTAAACTACAATAAATATGAAGAATACACTAAACTACAATAAATATGAAGAATACACTAAACTACAATAAATATGCAGAATACACTAAGCTACAATAAATATACAAGTCGTGCTTAGCATTGGTTCCCGTGCCCTGTTAAAGCACACTTGATGGCTACCATCCCCAGAGCCGGAGCTGGAGACGTGTGTAGTGCCCCTGATCCGGCACGGAGGAGTGAACCAGCACTCCCCTAGGGACGAGATAGAGCCCGGAACTGTTCTCACTGTCTACTGTAGCGAGGGGTACTCTCTCAGGGACCCTAGCAGCAACACTTTAGAGTGCATCACTAAACAGTACTACCAACCAAGCAGACTTCCACGTTGCGAGAAAAGTAAGAATCAGTTTAAAACAGTCTAATGTCTATCTTATCATTTAGAACTTCACTGACAATGAAGCAAATGGTCAAAGTTGAACGAGTTCTTCAAATCTCATAGAACAAATTTGAAAATTCTTTTCATTTATTGGAATAACTGGTACGCTTCACACTTGAAAATGCTACCCTAACCATGGTAACCACACTAGACCACACTAAACTGAACACAGGAGAAGTAAGATGTCAGGTCTAGTTACCATAGTTACACTACTAGTTACCATAGTTGCACTACTAGTTACCATAGTTACACTACTAGTTACCATGGTTACACTACTAGTTACCATAGTTACACTACTAGTTACTAAGTTGATCTTGTCACACAGGAGAAGTGAGATGTCAGGTCCCTCAGTTGTTTAACGGGTACTACCATCCCTTCCAGCCCGGAGAGGAGATATTGAAGGTCAGTTTCAACATATAAATCGTAGTGTTTTATCGCGTTAACAAGGAAAAAATATTCAAATTTAAACCTTATTTCCTCAGGTAGAAGCTAAACCTCATTTCCTCAGATAGAAGCTAAACCTCATTTCCTCAGGGAGAAGCTAAACCTCATTTTTTCAGGTAGAAGCTTAACCTCATTTCCTCAGGTAGAAGATAAACCTCATTTCCTCAGGTAGAAGCTAAACCTCATTTCCTCAGGTAGAAGCTAAACCTAATTTTATCAGATAGAAGTTAAACCTTATTTCCTCAGGTAGAAGCTAAACCTCATTTCCTCAGGTAGAAGCTAAACCTCATTTCCTCAGGTAGAAGCTAAACCTCATTTCCTCAGGTAGAAGCTAAACCTCATTTCCTCAGGTAGAAGCTAAACCTCATTTCTCAGGTAGAAGCTTAACCTCATTTACTCAGGGAGAAGTTAAACCTCATTTCCTCAGGTAGAAGTTAAACCTGATTTCCTCAGGTAGAAGCTAAACCTCATTACCTCAGGTAGAAGCTAAACCTCATTTCCTCAGGAAGAAGCTAAATCTTATTTCCTCAGGTAGAAGCTAAACCAGTTCGCAGTAAACCAATTTGTATTTGCACTGTTTTTTAGCTCGCTTATCAGTGATCGTTATCAGTGAAAGTGTTACTCGCCACGTCGACTTTCAACAGCGCCGACTGTGTAGCATGGATTTTTCAGTGGACCGGCTCAACGCGATGGACCATGAGATGACATCAGAAATTCAGAAAATATTCAAGGTTGCCAATGTTTCATGTAGATCTGACTTTACTGAGACCGCTTTAATGAAACTTAACAAAAATCCACTCGTCAAAATCATCGGCAGCTTAATGAAATTGGCGGAGAAGAATATTGAACTTTGTAAAAGTGCTGCTGGGAAAATTGATGTCATGAAATCGGAGAAAATAGCGGATCAGAAACTAATTATTGAAACTCAACAAGGACAGATGAATTCAGTTCAGGAGACAGTTAAATCAGAAATGAAAAGTTGGACGGATGTTGTCAAGAAAAACACTGCTCAGCGTCCTAGCGGGAAACCTTTAACAGAAAACTCTATCAAACAAGCCGTCAGGACTGTAAATGAAGAGAAGAAACGATCGAAGTACTTGATGATCTACGGTTGCCACGAAAGTGATAAAGAAGCCGATTTTGAGCTCAACAAAGTTGTCAAGGACATACTTTACGGAACTGACGCTTTCCCCGTGCTCCGCACTGGTGAGGTCTACAGAATCGGAAGGAAGGAACCGGGTAAGAATAGGCCTATCAAGGTCGAATTTGGTTGTGCCAGTGAGGTAGACTTGATTTTGATGCGTGCACGAAACCTCAGAGACAGTGACTCTTTCAAACATGTTTATTTGGGACCGGACAGAACCAAAGAGGAACAGCGTGCGCATAGTAAACTTGTTAAGGAGATGAAACAGATGATCCAGAAAGACTCAAATAAACATTATTTCATACGCGACAGAAAGATCTGCACGGCTGATAAAACCTTATCATCTCAAACGTCCCAAAGCTCCTGATAAGAGTTAATGTATGATGTATGTTGAGTGTTATTTGGTGCTGACTGGAGTTGCCGTGTGTAGATTTACCACTTTTTACAATTAATAAATGAACCGCGTTGAAAGCTTATTTAGTGTGTTTTTTTCAGTGCTGAGACTGGTAAATGTTAAAGTAACAGAACCTGAACTGCAACTCATATTTTTATGCTATTTTCTAGTTACGTCGACACACAATGCTAAATAGTTTTCGGAGGCTTGCTAGAATTTTATTCTCTATGTTTCTCTATAATTTTATATTGTATGTTTTTTATATTTCGGTACAGACCAGCGCCCATTGGGCGTATTCAATCAAAACCTCATTTTTTCAGGTAGAAGATAAACCTCATTTCCTCAGGTAGAAGGTAAACCTCATTTCCTCAGGTAGAAGCTAAACCTTATTTCCTCAGGTAGAAGCTAAACCTAATTTTATCAGATAGAAGTTAAACCTTATTTTATCAGGTAGAAGCTAAACCTCATTTTATCAGGTAGAAGCTAAACCTCATTTTATCAGGTAGAAGCTAAACCTCATTTCCTCAGGAAGAAGCTAAACCTCATTTTATCAGGTAGAAGCTAAACCTCATTTCCTCAGGACGACATCCTGTACGCAGTGTGTAACCCAGACTACATACTGGAAGGACCTGACTTCCTGATGTGCACTGATGAGAGGTTTGGAGGAGAGGTGAACAGGTGCGAGAAGGAGAAGATAGACTGTGCTATACCTTTCATAGCTAATGGTATGTTACCATAGTTACCATAGTTACACTATTAGTTACCATAGTTACACTACTAGCTAATGGTATGTGGGCTATTAGAAGATATACCTTTCATAGCTAATGGTATGTGGGCTATTAGAAGATATACCTTTCATAGCTAACGGTATGTGGGCTATTAGAAGATATACCTTTCATAGCTAATGGTATGTGGGCTATTAGAAGATATACCTTTCATAGCTAATGGTATGTGGGCTATTAGAAGATATACCTTTCATAGCTAATGGTATGTGGGCTATTAGAAGATAAACCTTTCATAGCTAATGGTATGTGGGCTATTAGAAGATATACCTTCATAGCTAATGGTATGTGGGCTATTAGAAGATATACCTTTCATAGCTAATGGTATGTGGGCTATTAGAAGATATACCTTCCATAGCTAATGGTATGTGGGCTATTAGAAGATGATACTTTGTTTCGTACCTAATTACTTACACACAAGATGCACCATTAGTTACCATAGTTACACTACTAGCTACCATAGTTACACTATTAGTTACCATAGTTACACTACCACAGTTACCACACAAGATGCACCATTATAATCCAATTTAACTGAAAATGAAATCATTCTCTGACCCAAGTGAAACCTCAGGAGAAGTGATGAATTCCGGGAAGCACTTTAAAGAAGGAGACTCCTACCCGATAGTGTGTGACCGGGGCTACTACAACACTTACACCTATATCAACTGTGTGGTCGGACCTTCAACATACGACCCGTACAGCGTGCCGGACTGTTTGAGGCCGGAGTATGGGTGTCCTAAAGTTGGTTTCCCTCTAATGAAACCCCTGTTAGTATTAGTACATTTATATCAATATATTTAAGCAGGAAATTAGCCGTTTTTATTGTTTTAGAATCCAATTTCACGTTTAGAAAAACAGAAAAGGTTTTTCATACAAATTTAAACTGTAATTATTAGTATTTAGTAATTTTCTACAATTAGAATGAAGTAGTAACCAGACCTGTCACTGAGTACGTAGTGATAACTGTTATTGTCCTGTCAGTAACCATAGTTACACTACTAGTTACCATAATGTAGTGTAGTGATAACTGTTATTGTCCTTTCAGGTTACAGGAGCCAGATAGAGGCGAGAGTGTAGAAGTGGAGTGTATAGAGGGGTATACCTTAGTGGGAGATAGCACACTAACCTGCGGTACCAAGTACGATTACACTGCTAGGAAACTCCCTGATTGCGTGCCAATAGCTGGCTGCGAGACACCGACAATAGGTATTTAACTAGTAACACTACTAGTTACCATAGTTACACTGCCATAGTAACACTACTAGTTACCATAGTTACACTTCTAGTTACCACAGTAACACTACTAGTCATAGAACCTAATCTCTCTTAGTTCGAACTAAATAACAGATAACAAAGTCTCCCGTACTTTCCAAAAATGTTACAAATTTTAAATTATTTCCAGAAAACGGAAGTGTGAATTCAACCTTGGCACACACAGAGGATGGGATGGGGATAGAGCTGAGTTGTAATCCTGGTTATGCTATGTATGGAGATCCAGTTATCACGTGTGAGAAAGGGACCTGGTCGGGCATCATCACTCCAGAGTGTCGCGCAAAGGAAGGTTTAACCTGCAAATAACAGAACAACATATTGTAGCAGTAGTTAGTAGTATAACAGAGCATAAACAATTTGCTTACAACCTATTAATTTACACATAAAAAGCTATACCACACTACACTATACTACACTATACTACACTATACTACACTATACTACACTATACTACACTATACTACACTATACTACACTATACTACACTATACTACACTATACTACACTACACTACACTACACTACACTATACTACACTATACTACACTATACTACACTATACTGCACTATACTACACTATACTACACTATACTACACTATACTACACTATACTACACTATACTACACTATACTACACTATACTACACTACACTACACTGCTCTACACTACACTATACTACACTATACTACACTATACTACACTATACTGCACTATACTACACTATACTACACTATACTACACTATACTACACTATACTACACTATACTACACTATACTACACTATACTACACTATACTACACTATACTACACTATACTACACTATACTACACTACACTACACTACACTACACTACACTACACTATACTATACTACACTACACTACACTATACTACACTATACTACATTATACTACACTATACTACACTATACTACACCGTAACTCCTCCTCCCCAGAAATGGACGATGACTGCAGAATACCTTTCGTTAACAATGGAATTTTCTGGCCCCTGTCTGATAGCGGAATAGTAAACCCCGGTTCTACCCTGCTTCTACTTTGCAACGACGGATTTGGAGTTGAAAACGACTTCGACCGAGTCATGTGTGTCACAAGTGAGTTACACTACTAGTTACCATAGTTACACTAGTACTTATTATAGTTACACTACTAGTTACCATAATTGTACTACTAGTTAACATAGTTACACTATTGGTTACCATAGTTACACTACTAGTTGCCATAGTTACCATACTAACATTGCAGCGGCTATATTCGACCCGCCCATACTACCAGAGTGTGTAGAACTGGAGATAACAGGGTGTCCCACCCCCAACATTCAACACGGACAAGTAGACCCGGACCTAGATATAGAGGTCGGGGACACAGTGTACGTGACATGTGACCAGGGTTATGAACTACAAGGACCGGAGGAGCTGGAATGCGGGGCGGATGGTAGCTACGATGAGCTGCCTGTCTGCACTGAGACACCCACCGTGTGTCCTGCTCCAGAGATAGACAACGCTATTATTTCTCCTAACCGTCCCATCAACGAAGGTTTGTACTCTTTTACACAACCTAACTTCTCCCTGAAACACAACCTAACTTCTCCCTGAAACACAACCTAACTTCTCCCTGAAACACAACCTAACTTCTCCCTGAAACACAACCTAACTTCTCCCTGAAACACAACCTAACTTCTCCCTGAAACACAACTTCACTTCTCCCTGAAACACAACCTAACTTCTCCCTGAAACACAACCTAACTTCTCCCTGAAACACAACATAACTTCTCCCTGAAACACAACCTAACTTCTCCCTGAAACACAACCTAACTTCTCCCTGAAACACAACCTAACTTCTCCTTGAAACACAACCTAACTTTTCCCTGAAACACAACCTAACTTCTCCCTGAAACACAACCTAACTTCTCCCTGAAACAAAACCTAACTTCTCCCTGAAACACAACCTAACTTCTCCCTGAAACACAACCTAACTTCTCCCTGAAACACAACCTAACTTCTCCCTGAAACACAACCTAACTTCTCCCTGAAACACAACACAACTTCTCCCTGAAACACAACCTAACTTCTCCCACTTGACACTAATGTATAATAGACACCTTGTAGACAAAGAAATTACTCGCCATAGTTTAACAAGATTGATGATAAAAATGCATCACTAAAGGTTTAAAATAAATATCTCAGAGCATTATTTACCAGGCGAGAGTTACATAGTAGTATGTATTATTTACCAGGCGAGAGTTACATAGTAGTATGTATTTACCAGGCGAGAGTTACATAGTAGTATGTATTATTTACCAGGCGAGAGTTACATAGTAGTATGTATTATTTACCAGGTGAGAGTTACATAGTGGTATGTAATATGTATTTACCAGGCGAGAGTTACATAGTGGTATGTATTATTTACCAGGTGAGAGTTACATAGTGGTATGTAATTCTGGATACGAAAGAGTTGGAGACGAGGTGTTGAGCTGCGGAACAGATGGGGTAACGTTTGGAATAACGAACAGAGCGCACCCGGACTGCAGCAAGATACCTGAGCCGTGTGAGATACCCAGTATTAAGAACGGCTGGTTCGTGCTACCTAACCAGCTGGGAGAGACTGAGACTGTTATCGCGTACAAAGAGGCGGGGATTGTTATCTGCAACCAGCCCGACTACGGTCCCGACCAGACGAGAGTGACTTGCATCGGTAACAGTCGCTGGAGTCCTGCAATACCTATGTGTACTTGGGAAGGTGCGTAACAAATTGTTAACACTGTTCAACAATTTGAAATTAAATCATTTAATCGTATAGAGAATGGTAAGTTTAAAATAATTAAAGATAACAAGGATGATTTTAACTAGTTACCATAGTTACACTACATTTTACAGGACCAACATGCGAGTTCCCGAATGTAGCTAACGGTGTAGTCAGCCCACAAATGGACATTGTTATGCCCTGGACAACACTAACGGTAACGTACACTACTAGTTACCATAGTAACGGTAAGGTACATTACTAGTTACCATAGTAACGGGGAAACTAACAACTGTATTACTGTTTTCAGTACTTCAATAAATTTCCTGATCAGAGTTTTCAAACTAATCTTATTTCAGATTGAGTGTGACGAGGGATTCGAGAAAAATCCAAAAGTAGATCTGGAGTGCATAAACAGCGGTGAAGTTGCGTATTTCAACAACAAGATCCCAGTATGCGAACAAGTAAAGATCAAATGTAACCGCCCAGTTATTAAACATGGCTACATTAATGGACCAGACGTAAGTCACACGACTGTGTTTTTAATAAGTAATAATTTTATAAGACGAACATTTATCTAAAATATGCTGGTTCTGACTTCTAACAGTGTCTTTTAACAGCCGCTGGAAACAGACGACAGGTTTACAGTAGAGTGTAACGAGGGGTACGAGCTGGTGGGACCGGGGGACCTCTGGTGTGCTACAAGGACGACATCTACTCAAGGAACCTACCTGCTTGCCAGATAAAGGACCTTAATGTTACCGAGTGCTTCAGACCTTTCGTACAGAACGCTAAGATTGTGGGCTCCTCTCTTACTGGTTACTATGTTACAGTAAGTGTTAAGTATTGTAATTCAAAGTAATTCGGCGTAAGACCGAGAAAGCCTTGAGATAAAGTTCTGCTGTCCGAAAAGTTCATTTTATTCATGTAGCCAACATGACATGTGGGCGTTATCACAAATCAATGATAGTACTTCTTAAGATTCTGAATACTAATTTATCTTCTGTTTATATGGGATATTCATGTAAAAGTATTATAAAGGAGTGCTAGTACTTTATCGACCCATAACCCAGAGAATATACCATAGAGAGGTACTAACTAGTAGTTACCATAGTAACGGTAATAGAAGAGTGTAACCATCAAGCGTACAAAATTCTGAAGACATCATTGATCAAATTTTGCCAAATTTAACATTAAAGTAAGCAGCATTTGAAATAACCTCTGTGGGAATGGATCGATAAGGTTTGCATTGTCGGGTGGGAGTTGCCCTGGTAACTAGAGTTGCCCTGAAACTGGGGAGCCATGGCAACTTGACCCACTCTCTCGTCAGGTCAGCTGCTTGGAGGGATACTCGATTGTGGGACCCAATGTACTGCAGTGCTTAACCACCGGACAATACGACCACCCCATGCCCCAATGCATCACAAAGCCTATCAATTCAGAAACTATCTGCGGGCAAAGGAACGACACCTGGGGCCGGGTGTACGGGGGAGAGGAGACGATCCCCGGGGAGTACCCCTGGAACGTACTGATAGAGTTCGACGGGGGGCGGTTCTGCGGAGGCTCCATCATCAGCGAGAACTGGGTCCTCACAGCTGGTCACTGTCTCCTGAGGAACGTGTACCAGAAGTGCGACAACAGAAACAATAACTGCAGGTTCCTGGAGCCGGACCTGGTGACGATCAAGGTGACAGGAGGGGTGCACAACCGGGAGGGAGAGAGGGGGGAGTGGCAGGAGAGGACCGCCCAGCAGGTTATCGTGCACCCCTTCTTCAGTAACCAGGCCACGTTCATCAACTACGATGTGGGACTTCTAAAAGTAGACCGAGCATTTGTATATAACAGTCGGATAAACAGGGTCTGTCTGCCGCGAAGTGGTGTCACTAACTTGATCGGGAATCTGGATCTGTACGTGTCGGGATGGGGCAGAACCAACAGCTCGTACTCATCACGCATTCTGCAACGGATAAAAGTGCCGTATGTGAGCCGGGAGGTTTGCAACAAAAACATTTCGTACTCAGGGAATATCAGAGAGACAATGTTCTGCGCGGGGTACCCTACTGGGAGAATAGACGCGTGTCAGGGGGACAGCGGGGGCCCTCTCGTCTACTTGGGCCCTAATGGGACCTTCGTGCAGGGGGGCATTGTCAGCTGGGGGAAGCAGTGTGCCAAGGAGCACTTCTACGGGGTGTACACAAACCTTGCCTACTTCTACGATTGGATAGTACAGGCACTGACTCGATCGGAGGAGCACACTTAAAACCCAGGTGTGGCAAAGAACACGGCGGTATACTATTAAACCTGGGTCAAGGGATATTGCAAACAATGATTACAGGAACCCTTTTCTATGAGCGGACGATAGCAGATACAAGTTCAGTTTATGGCATTCAGTTCAGTTGGCATCTAGCCATCAAATGTCGATATCTTACAGTATTAAGTGGAATATTGTGCGGGCTTTGAAAATTTCCAATTCTTCAATTATCAAACATTTCGTCATATTGAGTGTTCTGTCATATTTGATACGGGTAAAAAGAATAATAATACAGATATTTAAGTTATGAATTTGTTAGATTAATTTAAAATATAAGCTGGTCTATTGTTTATACTGATAATGATTACAGTAGGTGCCATTACTTACAGAAGGATTAATTGAAATGGTTTTTCAATCTTGTTCACATTCGTATCCATCTAAATTAATTCCTATAATTGCCGTAATATTTCAATTTCATGAAAAACTGCTCGTTTGTTGCCGATGGGAGCTAAACCAGGGGGGTGCAGGAGCTTGACATCTACTCTCTCCACAGGTAGTTTGTAACGAGGGATACTCAATAGAGGGACCCAGCCAACTTCAATGTTTAAGCAATGGACAATTCGACAAGCAGGTACCCCAATGCGTGTTTAAGCACGCTCCTAACCCTGACATCGAGCCAATAAGCGTGAAGGAGTGCGGACAGAGAGCCCCCAAGTTCCTCCACAGGATCTACGGAGGGACCAGCGCCGAGCCGGGGGAGTATCCCTGGAACGTGATCATCCACTTCACACGTGGGCGGTTCTGCGGAGGGTCTATAGTCAGTAAAGACTGGGTGCTGACAGCGGGGCATTGTCTTCTCTACACTAACTGGAAAACGTGTGATAACCGCGTGGAGCCGGGGTGCAGACTCATGAACCCCCGAGATATCATCTCCATAAGTGCAGGAGTAAATAACGTGGACGTGGAGGAGGAGACCTGGCAAGTGAGGACTGGTACTGAAGTCAGGACCCACCCCTTCTTCACCTCTCAAGCAACCTACATAGACTACGACGTGGGACTTATAAAGGTGAACAAGGCCTTCAAGTTTAACGACGATGTTAACCGGGTCTGCCTCCCGAGGGACGGGATGGGGCATTTAGTGGGCAACACAGACTTGCACGTGTCAGGGTGGGGCAAAACAAACTCCACCCCCTCTTCAGAAACCCTGCAGAAGATATCCGTCCCGTACGTGAGTAGGGCCCGCTGTAACTCTAACATCTCGTACAATGGGGTGGTCACAGAGACCATGTTCTGCGCCGGTTATAAGAAGGGGAAGATAGACGCGTGTCAGGGCGACAGTGGGGGTCCGCTCGTCTATCTGGGCTCTAACGGAACTTTTGTACAAGGCGGCATCATCAGCTGGGGCAGACAGTGTGCCATGGAGAACTTTTATGGAGTTTACACCAACCTAGCCTACTTTCACAGCTGGATCATGAGCTACATTGGAGAAAACTGATTTGTAAGTGAACTCTGTGAGACGACAGCGGGAACTAGTAGTGTAACTATGGTAAGTAGACAGTGGACCACTTTCCTTTAAATGGGAGAGGATTATTGATTACCCGAATTAACTGTAACCATGGTAACCATTAAATATGATCAGAATATGATCCAATGATGGTTTTTTTCGGAGAAGACAGAACAAATATGGATTGCAAAAATAAACACAGAATTGTTGGTTCTTTATCCATCCAGCAGACATTTAGCGAAATGGCTTAAATGAAGTTGGCAGAGATAATGACTCTTTTGAAATCCTGCAGTGTAAACTACAGTAAGACCCTTTAAATCTTGCCCCTTATAATTATAAAGTTATTTAACGTCTTTTTAATGCCGCTTCAGAACCTTGTGATTAGTTATGGAAAGATATATAATGTGCGGATTGATTAAAAATCTATCGAATTTGCGAGTTCAAGCTCATTTGCTCAGCTCAGGCGCATTTAAATGAATTTTGAGCGTTTTATTAACTGAAGAAGATTCGATATCTATTATTTTAAAACTTCTGATATATGTGTTTGGAAATGAAATCTTAGAATAGACTCCTTTAAATAGATTCTCCCTTATAACACGGGTTAAATGCGTTTTGAAAGGGACTGTACAATGTTTTAAAACTGAAGATAAGATTAAGACTAGTAGTGTAACTATGGTAACTAGTAGCGTTTTACTGCTCATGCTGTAAGAGTTTTAAACAAATATAAATTTTAAGATCCCAAACTTGTTTTTTATCGAAACTGCTAGTTTCCTTGCAAGAATTGAAATGAAATGAAATGAGTTGAAATTAAATGATATCTCATTCTTATGATTAACGAAATTAAATGATATCTCGTTCTTATGATTAACGAAATTAAATGATATCTCGTTTTTATGATTAACGAAATTAAATGATATCTCGTTCTTATGATTAACGAAATTAAATGATATCTCGTTCTTATGATTAACAAAATTAAATGGTACCTATAGGCTATATCTTATGATTAAAGAATCGACACAAAGAAGGTAGTTAAACTTGCCAGACTGAGACTCATGTGAAAAACAGTGTATAATCTGTAAATATGATCAAGCAAAATAAAAATCCTTCATATTAAACCCACCAATCCAAATAAGATACCGAAAGTTTCAATGTAGGTAAAATAAAATATACTACAGTAGTAGTAGCAGCCCTAACATGCACATATCATACCTTACTGGACTTTGGAGACGCTGGAGGCCCTAACGTTCATTTAAAAGTCCGCTCAAATAAAGTCTGTCCGTTTCAAGTCAAAGTCGAAATTTTTTAAAACGCCCAAAAAGGCTCTCCACAGGGATTGGCGAGCCAGGTAATAAATGTAAATGTAATTATTCTATATTATGTAATACTTCAATATTATAGTAAACATTAACCAGTGTACCAAAAGCTGGTCCCCAAACAAACAGTCACGTGATAATGTTTTCGTTGTCACGTGATAAAGTTTTCGTTGTCACGTGATAATGTTTTCGTTGTCACGTGATAATGTTTTCGTTGTCACGTGATAATGTTTTCGTTGTCACGTGATAATGTTTTCGTTGTCACGTGATAATGTTTTCGTTGTCACGTGATAATGTTTTCGTTGTCACGTGATAACGTTTTCGTTGTCACGTGATAACGTTTTCGTTGTCACGTGATAACGTTTTCGTTGTCACGTGATAACGTTTTCGTTGTCACGTGATAATGTTTTCGTTGTCACGTGATAATGTTTTCGTTGTCACGTGATAATGTTTTCGTTGTCACGTGATAATGTTTTCGTTGTCACGTGATCGTTTAGTCATCCATACACGTGTAATTAAGATACAAGGTACTATATTATAAAACGATGATAAACAAGTAAAATGGTGAATACAATTGATGATAATATTATGACAAAATCCAAATATCACAGTGCTGGCAAACTTCCAATATTACGAAGTGCTATTTACAAAAATCCCGAAAATAGCCTTAGTCAGGTGCCAGAATCGAATTAAAATCTTAAAGTTTTCCATTTCCCAACATTCAAGGCCCCACATACAGTAATATGACATGTTTTACATCATTTAGTGGCTTATATCCGGGTCTCACGTATATAAGCCTTGTAAAGTGTGACAACTAGACGGGCTTTACTTATAGACTAGGATCCGACACTGAGATACCTGTGACGTAATTACTAGGAGGAGATGTGAGATTAAACTAGTGTAATAAAGATACAAATTAATTTACCGTGACATTAGGAGCCTGCATTTAACTTCCCAACTCTAAATTAAATTGTACCTATCTTAACACATTTCCCTCAACAATGTAACAATTGAACCAGAGTCTCCCTTATTGACCTCATTGTGCGCTATTATTAGAAAGTATGTTATTATTAGTTACATCACGGGGAGGGGGGCGTGAGGTGCATGTAGGGACGGGATTATATGGCAATCTTCCTCAAGTCGAGTCTTGCTGAAATTCGATTAGATTTAACCGCCTTTAGTATGAATGGACCATCTTAGATTTCTGTTACATTTTGTTTGAGTGATTTCTTCGTTTAGTGCAAACTTTGGACACTTGCCGAATATGCTAGAATATGACATTTTGTAGTTAATTATTGCAAATTTGCAGGTCTCTGAGGCCCGGATTCTTTAGCACATAATTATATTTGAATTTCATAATATGAGTATTGTACAGATCACCCTGCAATCAAGGCGACAATCTGGGAATGGCTAGAGTATGTTCGCCTTGTGCTAATATCAAATAGCACTGCTAGTTGTACCCCATCATAGTTAGCTTTTAGTGATTTGTCAATATGATTACAAACCCTAACAAGAAACAGACAGCAGGCCTCCTCTTTCATAGGTTTAGTTACATTCTGGTAATAATGTTACAATTATGCAAAGGCTTAAAATCGAAGATCCAAATGATAGACTACAGTATTAACTGATAAAATATCGCGAATATTTGGGTATAAGAGAAGATGCAGCAGCTACTGAGCAGCACGTACTAATGTACGCGCTGTGTACGTACTAGTGTACGCGCTGTATACGCGCTGTGTACGTGCAGTATACGCGCTGTGTACGTACTAGTGTACGCGCTGTATACGCGCTGTGTACGTACTAGTGTACGCGCTGTATACGCGCTGTGTACGTACTAGTGTACGTGTGAGGGTGATAGTGAGACGGTGAATCCTTACTCCTGATCTCAGGTGTAGAGACAGACCTGACAGAGTGCCATAGCATCATAATATAGCATAACCTCATAGATAACGCTTTTATCTCTTGTAGTATGTTAAAATGTGTCAATTCTCTTGTAATATGTTAAAATGTGTCAATTCTGTTGCAGTATGTTAAAATGTGTTAGTTTGCTTGTGTTGATTTGTTTGGTGGAGAGCTCAGACTACAGGAAATGCGGTTACTTTAAACGCAACACACTCCGCTGCAACAAGGACCAGTTAGGAGCAGTACCACAGAACATACCACCCTACATCACTAGTCTGTTAGTACAGATTGTAATTACATATTATTATATGTAATTATATGTATTATTACATGTAATTATATGTAGAGATTATATATTCATATTATCATCTGACTTTCAGAATATTAGTCAACTATAAAGAATACTATAAGATGTTACTATCCTCCCTTAGCCGGGTCTGCATAAAGCATTAGTTTACAAATATCCTATATTTGTAAACTAAAATATTTGTGAAGGTGTATGCACCTTACTTTGATAAGAAATTCCTCTTTTAAACGGATTACCAGTGTCAAGTTGCAAAGCGAGTTGGAATCTACAGGTAATATTGCAGGTAACTCAATATATAAGATTGACTGCAACATACTGCAATATTATATTATACCTGCTAATAATGTAACCCCCAATGTTTCAGAACGATTAAGTATGATGATTTGAGGGGAGGATTTACCTTCCCAGCCCACAAACGTCTCAGAAAACTGTGAGTAACTTTTATAGGTAACTATTATAGTGGAGTAATGTGGAGTAACCACTGCACTGAGTACTAATAAACATGCCATTCCCAGAAAAAATAATACAAACTCGACTATTTCCTAATTTGCAGGTACTTGGTGAACGTAGAGATTGGAAGAGAAATACCTCGTCTAGCATTCGCCAAACTAAAGGAACTTCACGACCTGTAAGTATAAATACCTCGTCTAGCATTCGCTACGTTGCTATGGTGTTGCTATGGTGTTACTATTAGTGTTATTTTAGGTGCTATTATATTGCTACCATGGTGCTGCTATGGGGTTATTTAGAATATTTAATGTTTTCAGGCGAATACAATATTTACCGAATATTTAACGTTACCATGGTTGCAGGCGAATACAATATTTACCGAATATTTAACGTTACCATGGTTACAGGCGAATACAATATTTACCGAATATTAACGTTACCATGGTTACAGGCGAATACAATATTTACCGAAGGCGGGACAGAACTTGACTATTCACCCTGAAGCATTCCACGGTTTGAAGAAGCTGGTTACGATAAGACTGTTTAACCTGGGTGTGTCCTCCTTGCCTGACAACATGTTTAAAGACAGCTCCAAACTTAGGCAAATGTAAGAGACAATTCACATAACTAATTTAGCTTTCCTTGACATCTACACAAGGTCTAATCAGTAATTACTGTGACGAGTTAGAACAATATAAATATCTCCGGGATTTCGACGCGGGATCATATTATCACTCAGCCCGGCCCGCTGTTAGATAAACATCTCAAGGTGATATCATCCCGCCCCGGAAATTTGTATAAACCCGGCCCGCTTTTTAGTCGTAACTGATGTTTATCATTCAATTCTCCGACTTACAATAATCAATGATACTGCTGATTAGAACTCGATAATAGTAGAACAGTTAGACGCGCGATCACGTGGGCGCGTCACGTGCGTACCACGTGCCACCAATAGCATACGCCGAGTCTATACCACGTGACACGAAAGCGCACCACGTGATATGAAACATCGTAACCGTCCACTTCTTTTACACGCAAATTCCTGGGAACGTTGCCAAAGCAGCTAATTCTTGGAATTTCTCCAACGCGTGGCGTGAGAAGTTGGCGACTAGCCAGCTACCCTTGTCCGTGCCCTAAAAATAGTATTGTTTTGCTTGCTCTCCTTCCAGCTCTTGTTCTTGCTAACGTTCAAGCTATTGCTCCACTATCTCACTATGACAGATCGGTTTGACATTCAGATTGATGAACTGCTTTCCAATCGTGTTCAAAAATCAGACCCGTATTCCGAAATAAAAACTATTTTATCACTCTCTTCTAAAGTATAAATCCCTTGTCGAAATCGCCGGAGATAATTATAATCCATAAACACTTCACGCTCAGGGCTAAATAAATGTAATCCCTCAGCTGGCGCTTCGGGATTACATATTAACACAAAACTCGTGCGCTGCGCGCACTCGTATGTGTTTATCAGATCATCCCGCTAGCGCGGGATGATCTGTTATATAAACCCTTTGCGTGGCGGGTTTATGTTATTATAAACAGGATAGGTAGCAACATTTCAAATAACAGTGAAATGTTTTCAGATATATAACGGGGACCAATATAAACAGGATAGGAAGAAACACTTTCTCTCCGCTCAGTCGCGTACAACAGCTGTAAGATACTTTAAACATACTAGTAACCATAGTTACACTACTAGTTACTATAGTTACACTACTATACATGTTCTTACTTTTATACTAGTTTACTCCGCATAACAGAGACTAAGCTGTCTTATTAGACAAACTCTCCTGTCTTGTAATGGGAATATTGGGTAATGTAGGTGCCCCCCACCCCCCCCCCCCGGGTAAGGTAGATGCCCCCCGGGTAATGTAGGTGCCCCCACCCCCCGGGTAATGTAGGTGCCCCCTACTAAACACTACGAAATACTGCAGTGTAATATAACTAACCGATCAGAAGTCTGATGTTCAACAAGATCGCCACCATAGAAGACGGAGCCTTTGACTGTGTGGATGAAACATACAGGGACCCTAGAATGTAAGCTTCAAACATGACCATATATGGGTATAACATACAGGACCCTAGAATGTAAGCTTCAAACATGACCATATATGGGTATAACAGACAGGGACCCTAGAATGTAAGCTTCAAACATGACCATATATGGGTACAACATACAGGGACCCTAGAATGTAAGCTTCAAACATGACCATATATGGGTATAACAGACAGGGACCCTAGAATGTAAGCTTCAAACATGACCATATATGGGTATAACAGACAGGGACCCTAGAATGTAAGCTTCAAACATGACCATATATGGGTATAACATACAGGGACCCTAGAATGTAAGCTTCAAACATGACCATGTATGGGTATAACATACAGGGACCCTAGAATGTAAGCTTCAAACATGACCATATATGGCCATGGGTATCTTGTGAATTTAACTCCTGGAGTAATGGATATTATGTGTTTATTTCAATAAATATATGTGTTTTTAGTTCTTCAATCTAAAATTCACAAAAATGATTTTCTCAAATAGATTTTCCAAAAAAACTTTGATTCAGATACCTGTCCAACAATGAACTCGAAACAGTCCCAACAGAAATCTCTCACGACAAGATTAAATTGTAAGTCTTATCACAATTAAATTTCAAATCTTATTACAATTAAATTTCAAGTCTAATTACAATTAAATTTCAAGTCTTATAACAATTAAATTTCAAGTCTTATCACAATTAAATTGTAAGTCTTATAACAATTAAATTTCAAGTCTTATTACAATTAAATTGTAAGTCTTATCACAATTAAATTCTGGAATAGCCAAAATTAACCAGTCCTCACTCTCAGTCAAAACCTTAACTTTTATCAAGTATGTACTGATTTCGCACTATTGGACTATTGAACTATTACAATTTAATGAAAACTACTTTCTCAACGATCAAGGAAGATCCACGATAACCCGATACTGTGTGACTGCAATCTGAAGATCCCGGAATCCTTTACAGACAAGAAAGCGAGGTGCAAGGGACCTGCAGACCTCAGCGGAACTGCTTTAGTGGACCTCGTCGGCAAGACTATCGAATGTGGTGAGATCATTTTGTATTTCATTTAACAAGACTATCGAATGTGGTGAGATCATTTTGTATTTCATTTAACAAGACTATCGAATGTGGTGAGATCATTTTGTATTTCATTTAACAAGACTATCGAATGTGGTGAGATCATTTTGTATTTCATTTAACAAGACTATCGAATGTGGTGAGATCATTTTGTATTTCATTTAACAAGACTATCGAATGTGGTGAGATCATTTTGTATTTCATTTAACAAGACTATCGAATGTGGTGAGATCATTTTGTATTTCATTTAACAAGACTATCGAATGTGGTGAGATCATTTTGTATTTCATTTAACAAGACTATCGAATGTGGTGAGATCATTTTGTATTTCATTTAACAAGACTATCGAATGTGGTGAGATCATTTTGTATTTCATTTAACACTCTTTAGCACTGATATTCTTTAAAATTAATGATATTGCGTTTTAAGTTGCCATATCTAAAGATTTTAGTTCGATAATTTACCGAATAGGGTCCTTTTCGGATTTTCGATATGTATGGGGCCTTTTGGGGCGTTGGCCCCGGGCTCCTCTATAATGCGAAGGAGCAGACTTTTGTCATCAACGCAGGTCCATCGGGCCTACTCATACAAAACCCGATTACTTATTCCCTACGATCTTTTTGCCTTCGGCAAGAGTAGGGAAAAAATTAATGATATTGCGTTTTAAGTTGCCATTTAAAGATTTTAGTTTGATTATTTACCGAATGTTGCACATTTGATTTAATGTATACTTCCGTATACTAATATTCAGTTTTACTTCCGTTTTAGAAAGTATAAACACGTTATAATAGTTAAGTTTAACGTAGAGTGAGAGCGTTAATCTACCCCCCAGAGCGTTAATCTAGCACCTTGTAGTTAGAGTAAAGGTTTATTGAGGGTTACTGAGCGGGACTAAATACCTGTAAACACATAGTAACTACTTGCTTACAGGTATTAGTCTACATTGTAGTTATCACAGGCTCTTGTTTTGAGTCTGCGTATACCACAGTGCTGTGAAACCACTCAATAACCAATAAGTTAATATTATAGTTTGAGTATGTGGTCCATTGTTCACAGCCCCTCATTACTACAGTGATGAGGGACTGCTACTTATCATTACAATAATAAGTAGTCTCAGGTCGTTTCGTGCACCACAGATAAGTGATAAGTTATCAACACCACATCGGTGGGAATTACCCCTGGTTTCTCACACCTGGAGAGGTATATAAGCAGTACCTGCAGCTGCACTATCATCTCAACTACTACTACTAGTAACATAGACAATTAGCCCCTGCAGCTCCACTATCATCTCAAGATGAAGCAACTACTTGTACTGTTAGGACTATTAGTGCTCAGCACTGAAGCCTGGAACCCTAAAACCCGCTACTTCTACTGGAACGTTGCCCGGGATGTGCAGGTTATTGAAGGAAGGACTCTGATCGTGAACACAATCAACGGGAGGATCAAAGGACCTGCTATCTTCGCTAAACAGGGCGACTTCTTGTCAGTGAAAATAACGAACAACCTGCCAGATGCTGGACTGTCTATACATTGGCATGGGATGGAAATGAGGGATTACCAGCTATACGACGGACCAGTGGGACTAGTGCAGTGCTCCCTGGCCCCTGGGGAGAGTATGACCTACAAGTTCAAGGTGCAGGAGCACCCTGGTACCTACTGGTACCACACCCACGCCGAGATGTTCCCGTCCGGTCACGACATGGTGAGGGGCCCTATCGTAGTGCTGCCTGAGGACGGACCTGTGTATCCCTCCCATCTTATTGATAACTACGATTACACCCACCTGAACGAAAGAGTCCTCTTCTACCAGGACTTCTACCCTAACTATATAGCTCACGATTACCTGATGGGACTCGGTGACCTCAGAGAGTTGGGTGGATTTAACGCGGAGGGAGGGATTGCTCTCACTGCACCTTGGAGTGGGGGCTGTCTGAACGGAGGAGAAGAGAAGGGTTTCATGCAGTTTGAGAACGGAGAGTACAGGTTCAGGCTAGCTAACGGAGGGAGCACCACCCCAATGCTCTGGAGTATTGACGGGTACAGCTTCAAAGTAGTCGCTGCTGACGGTACTGATGTGGAGCCGTATGAAGTGGACCAGATTCAGATCCATCTCGGAGAAAGGTACGATGTACTGGTTAACTTCAACGTAGACGCACCTCAGAACGTGTGGATGAGAGGGGCTGCCACTGCAGTGACCAACCCAGCAGCAGTAATACTCACCACTCTCCAACTCAGACCTGACAACTCCTTCGAGTATCTGGAGGGACCAGCCACCAGCTCTCCTAACCCCGACCCAGTCCTGATGAACTGCAACTACTTTGGAGAGCAGGAGAAATGTGTGTCCGTAACCGCGCTCAAGTCGAAAGCAGATGAGTTCAAGACACGTCCTTTACTTGACGACACTGAGCTTCACACTGCTGACTTCTTCTTCTCTCTACCCCCTGTGTACGGATACTTCTTCTCACTTGACGGAGGCACCTACACCCAGAATGCACTGCCTCACCATCCAATAGCATACCCTGACTTCGACAACGAGAAAGACATGAACCCCCACACCAACGTGCTTAACCTTGCTTTGGATAAGACTGTGACTATAGTTCTCAGGAACGGAGCAGGCATAGCCCATCCCATCCATCTCCACGGCCACAAGTTTGAGGTGCTGGAAGAGATCTCCCGTGCAAAACCAAACTGTTTCGGAGGACAATGCCCGCTACCTGACCTGGAGACCGGCTTCTCAGCCCCCATCTCCGAGCTAGCTAAGAGGGAGACGCGAGGAGTTCTGAAGGACGTGATCATCGTCCCGATGTTCGGAGCAGCAGTAGTAAGGTTCAACACTGACAATCCCGGCGTGTGGTTCGCTCACTGTCATTTCGACGAGCACGTGGACAGTGGACAGGGTTTCGTAATGAACGAGGGTAACTGGAAGGCGGCCAAGGTCCCCGCGGACTTCCCCTCGTGCGACTACACTGGACGTCTCCAGCACATGACCAGTGAGCTGTGTACTTGTGATCCGGAGGAGCTGGACCCTACTTGGCTCTGTTCCAAGGACTACATGTGTCAATGGACCCGACGCAGGTCCTTCGGACACTAGAAAATGTAACGACATTTCAAGAAGTAGATGATTGGTTGCAGCAACCTTTACATGCCGTCCATCTTTTACAAGAGACGGTGAAGATGAGAACAAGTGAAATATTCCTATGTTCCAAAATTTGGTTCAGTTTGATTTTCTGCATTTAAAGTTGCGTGTTTAATTTCTACAATAATTCTTAAAATTAAATCATCGCGTCGTGACAAGTAATAAAAACTTATCTTAGTCTCATAAAGCCAATTATAAAAGCGTATCCACAAAAACATCCCAAATTGAAAGTGATGTCCGAGCTCCAAGTCAAAACAACCTAACGTATTCAATTATTAATAACTAAAGTAAGTATATTATTGAGTGATGTGGCGTGATATTTACCCCTCACTAAACCCCTAAGTTTACTACCCTCTATTTACCCCTCACTAAACCCCTCAGTATGCTACCCTCACTAAACCCCTTACTTTGCTACCCTCTATTTACCCCTCACTAAACCCCTCAGTTTGCTACCCTATATTTACCCCTCACTAAACCCCTCAGTTTGCTACCCTCTATTTACCCCTCACTAAACCCCTCAGTTTGCTACCCTCCGGATATAAGGAACGGGGACACAGAACCAAGCTCTTCTCTACAGCCTGGAGCTACACTGCAGATATTCTGTTCTGAAGGGTACAGTCTTAGTGTTATGCCTAACATTGTCTGCCAGGAGGACGGCACTTTCGGGGATACTGCCATACCTGAGTGCATAGGTAACCATAGTAACCATATTTAGTGTAGTACCTAAGTATATAGGTTCGTACTTTAGTGTAGTACCTGAGTACAGTGTATAGGTTCGTAATTTAGTGTAGTACCTGAGTACAGTGTATAGGTTCGTACTTTAGTGTGGTACCTGAGTGTATAGGTTCGTACTTTAGTGTAGTACCTGAGTGTATAGGTTCGTACTTTAGTGTAGTACCTGAGTGTATAGGTTCGTACTTTAGTGTAGTACCTGAGTGTATAGGTTCGTACTTTTAAAGAATCTCTCAACAGAAGATCGAGTAGAGCCGGAGGAGCTGGAGGACGGATCACTTCTGATAATCAGCAATGCTTTCTCAGTCTACCCGAACCCAATCACTCTGAGATGTCCTACTGAAACTGTCGTAAAAAGTAAGTTTCTAATTCTTCTCTTTAGAGAAACTTAGGTGAGGATTGGGGGAACCAGGAGAGAAATATTTTACCAATTTTACCTGTGTATTTGCCTAACCTATCCTGTCTATAGTAAACTAGAAGTTAAATAGTAGCACCCTTCTATAAAACTGATTGCAGGTTGCAGCCTGCAGGTGCGCGCATTGGTAGTCATGGAGACATCACGAACATTTCTTATGTAGTTATATCCATCTTATTATTATAAATCTAGGTTGCAAGTGCGCGCAGTTTTACTGCCAAGGAGTGGTTTTAGAAGACACTTCTTGTAGAGTGTACGCTGCTCCGGGGAACGCTACTAAAGGAGAACTGATCTGTATCCCTAATGATCTAGTGTTAGATCACTACACTTACGATTTGACGGAAGACATCGAACATTTCGCGGCATGTAGGCCCTCCTATCAAATGACTGCTTGCACAAACGTAAATAAACTAAATAACTCGCACATATTTAAGCTTATTTTTGTAATATGTTTAAACATTGACCTGACCGCTTCATTATTTTAAAAGATATAAGCATCTGAAAAACCCTCCTTCAGTACAACTCCATGGATAGAGTAGCTACTGATCATGGAGTTCTGGATCAAGATATGAGTGGAATATGTAGAGTTGACTGCGGTAACATTGACTGTGACCTCTACATAAGATGCCTAATCATTATTGGTATGTTTTTTCACATTAGTTTTCAAAGAAAAGTTCCAAGAAAAGTTTCAAATGAAATACAACACACGCACTATATAATGCTGTGCCTTGTTGAAGAGGACTATATTCTCGAGAGATAGAGGACAGAAGATTCTCCTTAATTTCTCTAAAATGTGCTCAGAAAAGAAGAAATGTGACAAGTTTTCCATCTATATGGGAAGTGTAACTAAAGAAGGAGTGGAAATGACAGCATCTTCTAAATTCGAGGAGGGAGATGTAGTGACCATCACGTAAGAGGGGTTGTAGGAGGGGGAGGGTTGTAGGACTACACGTGTGATTCAGTATGATTGGGGGCGGGTGGAGAATGCCGAGGGGCGGGGGTTGTAGGACTACACGTGTGATTCAGTATGATTGGGGGCGGGTGGAGAAGGCCGAGGGGCGGGGGTTGTAGGACTACACGTGTGATTCAGTATGATTGGGGGCGGGTGGAGAAGGCCGAGGGGCGGGGGTTGTAGGACTACACGTGTCATTCAGTATGATTGGGGGCGGGTGGAGAAGGCCGAGGGGCGGGGGTTGTAGGACTACACGTGTCATTCAGTATGATTGGGGGCGGGTGGAGAAGGCCGAGGGGCGGGGGTTGTAGGACTACACGTGTGATTCAGTATGATTGGGGGCGGGTGGAGAAGGCCGAGGGGCGGGGGTTGTAGGACTACACGTGTCATTCAGTATGATTGGGGGCGGGTGGAGAAGGCCGGGCCGAGGGGCGGGGGTTGTAGGACTACACGTGTCATTCAGTATGATTGGGGGCGGGTGGAGAGGGCCGAGGGGGGGGGGTTGTAGGACTACACGTGTGATTCAGTATGATTGGGGGCGGGTGGAGAAGGCCGAGGGGCGGGGGTTGTAGGACTACACGTGTGATTCAGTATGATTGGGGGCGGGTGGAGAGGGCCGAGGGGGGGGGGGGTTGTAGGACTACACGTGTGATTCAGTATGATTGGGGGCGGGTGGAGAAGGCCGAGGGGCGGGGGTTGTAGGACTACACGTGTCATTCAGTATGATTGAGGGCGGGTGGAGAAGGCCGAGGGGCGGGGGTTGTAGGACTACACGTGTCATTCAGTATGATTGGGGGCGGGTGGAGAAGGCCGAGGGGCGGGGGTTGTAGGACTACACGTGTGATTCAGTATGATTGGGGGCGGGTGGAGAAGGCCGAGGGGCGGGGGTTGTAGGACTACACGTGTCATTCAGTATGATTGGGGGCGGGTGGAGAGGGCCGAGGGGGGGGGGGGGGGCGGGCGGGATTGTGATTAGTTAAGTTATAGCACATACTGCTGCTATTAGTGGGGATCTCCTAGAGATTTAATCAAGTGAACATGTGCCGATAATAAAACGCACCCATCAGGTTAGTAGTAGTAGTAACCATAGTAACCATAGTAACCATCAGGTGTAATGAAGGGTACGAACTTTTTCTACCAGACGAGGGGGTGGAGGTGACACAGACCACTCTCTCCTGTGTAGAGGGAGAGATATACAACCCTCCAGAGATCCCAGAGTGCTTTGAAAGTAAGTCAACTAGATTTAAAATACAAGACAGTGAAAGCAGTATTAATGACATTCTCACTTTTCAGAACTAAGTGCCTAATATAATTAAGATATAACATCTAAACAGTTTTATTACTGTTCCATATGATCGAGGATAGTCAGGGCTACAAAACCTGACCAAGTTTAGCTCAATCCAGAACTGCGCGTTCGAGATATGAGGTTAAATATACCAAAAATAGGGGTTTTCTGGTGTGACATCATTGTAAATTTTTTGGAGTATAACCTCAATATCTCACAAACTATCCATTTGTAGTCTTTCTGAGTTACACTATCTGTTTCCTCTGGCAATTTCGGTTCAGAGTCAATTAAGTTTGAAACAAAATCTCAGTATATGTGAAAGTACTGAGGATGTCAAGTTTGTAACAAGCGCGCGCGCGCGCATACACACATGACCTCATATCTTCCACATTTAATGATTTTTCATGGAAATTCTTTCACCATCCTGTAGCACTCATGTGCTGAGTAGGATAGCATTCAAATCATGTCTTTAAAAGCTTTTGAGAAATACTGAGGGAGAAAATTCATGCTTGTAACAAGCGCGCGCGCGCGCGCGCATGGCCCATGCCAGACTATATCAATGGACGGGAGGATTAAAGTACTTTCACACACACCAGCATGCTCATTGATGGCTTAAAATGAAGCTAAGACATACTCCTATCAGATCCAGCATAAGTTATATACCATAATAATCATTAAATGTGTCTAAAATGAGGAAGCTTTGACAAGTGCGAGTGATTTTGGCAAATTTTGGTATAAAATGGGCCCTGAGATCATATTTTTCTCATTAAAATCACATATATCACGGATATTTATGTGTGTTGGGTGTATCCTCATTGGTATCAACCATTTCAATCATCTAGAGCAGCTTTCCTGATTCTTTATCTCATGAAAATGGGCAAAAAAGCTCATAAATAGTCCAAAACCGGTCATTTTCGCCGCTTTAATAACCTCATTCCTGGCACCCAGAACACTTTGGGTACTCAAAACATGATTTTTCGGATACCTCAGACCCCTAACTAGCACATGGAGCCAGAAAGAACAGCATGTAGGGACTTCTAAATTTCCATGGTTGAGAACCCAATGTCACACTATTCGTTCATTAATCCTGCTTTCACTGAAGAAGTAGTGTGTCAGCTTTGTTGGGCACCATTGGATACCCCCGTTTCGTAGTTAAACACCCTATAACATCGCGACACTAATAGTTAGCATAGTTACACTACTAGTTACCACAGTTACTCCGCAGTAATACCAGAGTGTGAGCTAGCCCCAATAGAGAGCGTAGTAGCGTATCCAAGCTGGACAGTGCTGGAAAGGAGCTCTATAACCCTGTCTTGTAGGGTTGGTTACGAGGGGGAACAGGAGATCATCAGCTGTGAGAGAGGGGGGACCTTCAACCAGCCCCAGATACAGTGCACCAAGAAAGGTAAGTTGTGAGAGGGGACCTTCAACCAGCCCCAGATACAGTGCACCAAGAAAGGTAAGTTGTGAGGGGGGACCTTCAACCAGCCCCAGATACAGTGCACCAAGAAAGGTAAGTTGTGAGAGGGGACCTTCAACCAGCCCCAGATACAGTGCACCAAGAAAGGTAAGTTGTGAGGGGGGACCTTCAACCAGCCCCAGATACAGTGCACCAAGAAAGGTAAGTTGTGAGGGGGGACTTTCAACCAGCCCCAGATACAGTGCACCAAGAAAGGTAAGTTGTGAGGGGGGACCTTCAACCAGCTCCAGATACAGTGCACCAAGAAAGGTAAGTTGTGAGGGGGGACCTTCAACCAGCCCCAGATACAGTGCACCAAGAAAGGTAAGTTGTGAGGGGGGACCGGACCTTCAACCAGCCCCAGATACAGTGCACCAAGAAAGGTAAGTTGTGAGGGGGGACCTTCAACCAGCCCCAGATACAGTGCACCAAGAAAGGTAAGTTGTGAGAGAGGGGGGACCTTCAACCAGTCCCAGATACAGTGCACCAAGAAAGGTAAGTTGTGAGGGGGGACCTTCAACCAGCCCCAGATACAGTGCACCAAGAAAGGTAAGTTGTGAGGGGGGACCTTCAACCAGCCCCAGATACAGTGCACCAAGAAAGGTAAGTTGTGAGAGAGGGGGGACCTTCAACCAGCCCCAGATACAGTGCACCAAGAAAGGTAAGTTGTGAGGGGGGACCTTCAACCAGCCCCAGATACAGTGCACCAAGAAAGGTAAGTTGTGAGGGGGGACCTTCAACCAGCCCCAGATACAGTGCACCAAGAAAGGTAAGTTGTGAGGGGGGACCTTCAACCAGCCCCAGATACAGTGCACCAAGAAAGGTAAGTTGTGAGGGGGGACCTTCAACCAGCCCCAGATACAGTGCACCAAGAAAGGTAAGTTGTGAGGGGGGACCTTCTACCAGCCCCAGATACAGTGCACCAAGAAAGGTAAGTTGTGGGGGGGGGGACCTTCAACCAGCCCCAGATACAGTGCACCAAGAAAGGTAAGTTGTGAGGGGGGACCTTCAACCAGCTCCAGATACAGTGCACCAAGAAAGGTAAGTTGTGAGGGGGGACCTTCAACCAGCCCCAGATACAGTGCACCAAGAAAGGTAAGTTGTGAGGGGGGACCTTCAACCAGCCCCAGATACAGTGCACCAAGAAAGGTAAGTTGTGAGGGGGGACTTTCAACCAGCCCCAGATACAGTGCACCAAGAAAGGTAAGTTGTGAGGGGGGACCTTCAACCAGCCCCAGATACAGTGCACCAAGAAAGGTAAGTTGTGAGGGGGGACTTTCAACCAGCCCCAGATACAGTGCACCAAGAAAGGTAAGTTGTGAGGGGGGGACCTTCAACCAGCTCCAGATACAGTGCACCAAGAAAGGTAAGTTGTGAGGGGGGACCTTCAACCAGCCCCAGATACAGTGCACCAAGAAAGGTAAGTTGTGAGGGGGGACCTTCAACCAGCCCCAGATACAGTGCACCAAGAAAGGTAAGTTGTGAGGGGGGACCTTCAACCAGCCCCAGATACAGTGCACCAAGAAAGGTAAGTTGTGAGAGAGGGGGGACCTTCAACCAGTCCCAGATACAGTGCACCAAGAAAGGTAAGTTGTGAGGGGGGACCTTCAACCAGCCCCAGATACAGTGCACCAAGAAAGGTAAGTTGTGAGGGGGGACCTTCAACCAGCCCCAGATACAGTGCACCAAGAAAGGTAAGTTGTGAGAGAGGGGGGACCTTCAACCAGCCCCAGATACAGTGCACCAAGAAAGGTAAGTTGTGAGGGGGGACCTTCAACCAGCCCCAGATACAGTGCACCAAGAAAGGTAAGTTGTGAGGGGGGACCTTCAACCAGCCCCAGATACAGTGCACCAAGAAAGGTAAGTTGTGAGGGGGGACCTTCAACCAGCCCCAGATACAGTGCACCAAGAAAGGTAAGTTGTGAGGGGGGACCTTCAACCAGCCCCAGATACAGTGCACCAAGAAAGGTAAGTTGTGAGGGGGGACCTTCAACCAGCCCCAGATACAGTGCACCAAGAAAGGTAAGTTGTGAGGGGGGACCTTCTACCAGCCCCAGATACAGTGCACCAAGAAAGGTAAGTTGTGGGGGGGGACCTTCAACCAGCCCCAGATACAGTGCACCAAGAAAGGTAAGTTGTGAGGGGGGACCTTCAACCAGCCCCAGATACAGTGCACCAAGAAAGGTAAGTTGTGAGGGGGGACCTTCAACCAGCCCCAGATACAGTGCACCAAGAAAGGTAAGTTGTGAGGGGGGACCTTCAACCAGCCCCAGATACAGTGCACCAAGAAAGGTAAGTCCTAGTAGTGGAGTTGTCTCTAGTCCTAACTAGCTGAATCTGTAAATAACCCCACAGTGCTTGCGGAGTGTTACGTAGAGGCGGTGCCGCACGCGACTATAACCCTGACAGACGGCAGCAGACTAGAGGAGTTCACAGTAGTGGAGGGTACAGTGGTTATAGTGAACTGTCAGAACGGATACCAACCCTCCACCTACAGGGACCGGCTCACTTGTCTCCGTGACGGACAGCTCAGTGACGACATGCCTTCCTGCATCAAAGCTGTCGGTTAGTTTGTTTATAGTTGTTTGCAATCACTTCTAAGAGCAGGAACATTCGTAAATTACATGATGCGGCCATAGTTTATGTTACTAGTAGTCAATTCTCATGCTGAAATCCATGCTGAATTTCTCAGATTCCAAAATAATTTGTATTTATAGACAAGATAATGCAACTAAACACCGCAGATCCAGATGAAATGAAGTGTTCGGTACCGCTGCTACAGAACGGCTTTGTTGAGAACTACACCTCCGGAGACGAGATCAGTACAGGAACTGTAATAACCTTCCAGTGCAAGGAGGGCTTTAAGTTCCACAATCCTAACAGCATATCTCTGAAGTGCGTTTCTAATCAGTTCTTTGAACCAAACAGACTGCCCAGATGTAAAAAGGGTAAGTGAGCTTTTTAGTTGGAATCACTGATTTTGTTAGTTAAAAGTATGGAGCTGAATAAAAGAGGTATCATTAAAACCAACTTATCCTAAACAAGGTTACTCTAGCAGCAGAGTGTAGAACTTTATAACTTAGACGTGTAGCTTACTAACTGTATTTACTAAGTACTAACTGTATTTACTAAGAGCAGCTGTGTAGTGAGTGTAGCTTACTAACTGTATTTACTGTTTCAGTGGAGGTTAGGTGCGAGGTACCGGAGTTAGAGAACGGTTACTACAGCGGTTACAGGACAGGGGAGAGTATACTCCTGGTGAGTACTCACTACTCACTAATCACTAATCACTACTCATTACTCTACTACTCACTTCTTACTACTCACTACTTACTACTCACCCAGACAGAGGTACTATGGCCAGCATGCGACTACGGGCACGACCTGTAGTCGCATGCTGTAGTCGCATCTCACCCCTCCCTCTCCCAGACAGAGGTACTATGGCCAGCATGCGACTACGGGCACGACCTGTAGTCGCATGCTGTAGTCGCATCTCACCCCCCTCTCCCAGACAGAGGTACTATGGCCAGCATGCGACTACGGGCACGACCTGTAGTCGCATGCTGTAGTCGCATCTCACCCCCCCTCACCCAGACAGAGGTACTATGGCCAGCATGCGACTACGGGCACGACCTGTAGTCGCATGCTGTAGTCGCATCTCACCCCCCCTTACCCAGACAGAGGTACTATGGCCAGCATGCGACTACGGGCACGACCTGTAGTCGCATGCTGTAGTCGCATCTCACCCCCTCCTCACCCAGACAGAGGTACTATGGCCAGCATGCGACTACGGGCACGACCTGTAGTCGCATGCTGTAGTCGCATCTCAACCCCCCCCCCACCCAGACAGAGGTACTATGGCCAGCATGCGACTACGGGCACGACCTGTAGTCGCATGCTGTAGTCGCATCTCACCCCCTCTCACCCAGACAGAAGTACTATGGCCAGCATGCGACTACGGGCACGACCTGTTCGGACCTGAGCCACTGGAGTGTAACGAGAACAACTTTGGAGGAGAGGTGAACACGTGCGTGAGACCTACTGTGGACTGCGTCATCCCCATCATCGGAAATGGTACAGTGGGGTGGTATTAGAATACAGAGTTACCATAGTTACACTACTAGTCACCATAGCTACACTACTAGTTACCATAGTATACAGAGTGCATGAACCAAACCTCTTCTCAGAGGTTAAGATAATTGCTAGTAAAACTATCGAATATCAACAGAGCTTGAAATAGCACAATATTAAAAAGTAAAGATAACATTGTCACTGTGAAGGACACGTGCGGAATGAAGGGCAGGACTTCAAAGAAGGAGACTCCTACCCGATAGTGTGTGACCGGGGCTACTACAACACTTACACCTACATCAACTGTGTGGTCGGACCTTCAACATACGACCCGTACAGCGTGCCGGACTGTTTGAGGCCCGTGTGGGGGTGTCCTAAAGTTGGTTTCCCTCTAATGAAACCCCTGTTAGTATATAGTTACCATAGTTACACTACTAGTTACCATAGTTACACTACTAGTTACCATAGTCACACTACTAGTTACCATAGTCACACTAATGAAACCCCTGTTAGTATTAGTACAACATTTATATCAATATATAGGAGGAGGAAATTAGACATTTTATCAGTTACTTCCCCTAATTACCCTTACTTGAGCTGATCAAGTAAGAGGTACTTGATCAGCTTGTGAACCATAACCTTTAATTAGGATCCAGCACTGTGCGGAGAGAAAACATGACACGTGCTGTATTAATAACCATAGTAACTCTATTAGTTACCATAGTAACTGTATTAGCTATTATAGTAACTGTATTAGTTACCATAGTAACTGTATTAGTTACCATAGTAACTGTATTAGTTACCATAGTAACTGTATTAGTTACCATAGTAACTGTATTAGTTACCATAGTAACTGTATTAGTTACCATAGTAACTGTATTAGTTACCATAGTAACTGTATTAGTTACCATAGTAACTGTATTAGTTACCATAGTAACTGTATTAGTATGTGACACGTGCTGTATTAGTTACCATAGTAACTGTATCAGTTACCATAGTAACTGTATTAGTTTGTGATCTGACGGGGACGTTAAAGTCAAAACCCTGATTAACCGTACACCCGATTTACCGTACTATTTCCCTTCCCCCAAACTGTGCGGTGAATCTGTTTTTCCTGTGGTATAAATAAAGAGTTTTATTGTAGGTTAGAAGAACCAGAGAGAGGGGACAGTGTGGAAGTAGAGTGTATTGAGGGGTACACCTTAGTGGGAGATAGCACACTAACCTGCGGTACCAAGTACGATTACACTGCTAGACGACTTCCTGAGTGCGTTCCTATTGCCGGCTGCGAGGCTCCAACCATAGGTAACATCTAGTTACCATAGTTACACTACTAGTTACCATAGTTACACTTCTAGTTACCATAGTTACACTTCTAGTTACCATAGTTACACTACTAGTCACCATAGTTACACTACTAGTTACCATAGTTACACTACTAGTTACCATAGTTACACTACTAGTTACCATAGTTACACTACTAGTTACCATAGTTACACTACTAGTCACCATAGTTACACTACTAGTTACCATAGTTACACTTCTAGTTACCATAGTTACACTTCTAGTTATCATAGTTACACTACTAGTTACCATAGTTACACTACTAGTTACCATAGTTACACTTCTAGTTACCATAGTTACACATATTATAAAACTACCTCACTCAGAGAACGGGGAGTTGAACACGACACTGTCTCACTTGGAGTGCGGTGAGAGGGTAGAAGTACACTGTAACACTGGCTTCTCTCTGTATGGAGACTACCTCATAACGTGTGAGAAGGGGACCTGGTCCGGGATTGTCACTCCAGGATGCCGCCCCGAGGAAGGTAAGTTATATTCACATTATTACGTGTGAGAAGGGGACCTGGTCCGGCATTGTCACTCCAGAGTGCCGCCCCGAGGAAGGTAAGTTATACACACTTGCTAGATTCTCTTAGCAATATACTCTGCATAACTCATGACCCCCCCCCCCCCTGCATTACAAGGAGTAAGATAATAGAATCCTTTAAACACTTAGAAGCAACATTACGTTATTAAACTAGAGAAATATTCGATATATATATAACAAATAATTTCCACATCAGAAATAGAAGAAGATTGTGAAATGCAGTATGTTTGGGACTACTCGGGCGAGTTTTGGCCGCTAGCTGACGGCTCCTTGAACCCGGGCTCCACTCTCATGTTGTACTGCTCTGACGGGTTCGGGGTTGCTAATGGTTACGACAAAGTAATGTGTGTGACAGGTGCGTGATTATACAACAACGGGAACAGTAGTATACAGTAGTATAGTATTATTGTAAAGGAATGACTGTAACTGTTTATATAAACCAAAACATAATCTAGCAATACCCAATGTTTCTCTACTTATAGTTTTACTCTAAAATTATCAGGATCAACATTCGAACCTCGGGAATTACCAGAGTGCGTAGAACTGGAGATAACAGGGTGTCCCACCCCCAACATTCAACACGGACAAGTTGACCCGGACCTAGATATAGAGGTCGGGGACACAGTGTACGTGACATGTGACCAGGGTTATGAACTACAAGGACCGGAGGAGCTGGAATGCGGGGCGGATGGTAGCTACGATGAGCTGCCTGTCTGTACTGAGGAGCTTATAAACTGCCCAGTACCAGAGATACTTAATGCTCTAGTCAGTCCAGCATTTCCTATATCACAAGGTAGGACTAGTTACCATAGTAACACTACTAGTTACCATAGTTCCAGAGATACTTAATGCTCTAGTCAGTCCAGCATTTCCTATATCACAAGGTAGGACTAGTTACCATAGTAACACTACTAGTTACCATAGTTCCAGAGATACTTAATGCTCTAGTCAGTCCAGCATTTCCTATATCACAAGGTAGGACTAGTTACCATAGTAACACTACTAGTTACCATAGTTCCAGAGATACGTAATGCTCTAGTCAGTCCAGCATTTCCTATATCACAATGTGTTCCCAGTTACCATAGTAACCCTGTATAATGACAATGTGTTCCCAGGGGGGGGGGGGGGGGGCCAATGAATACCAATGGAGACTTTTGGGGACTAATGGGGACTAAAAATCATGGGGACTAGAGGTCAACTCGTTGACGTAATTCACCATTTGTCCCCATAAGTCCCCAGAATTTTTGACAGTTATTTATGGTTTTCAAGTTAGTTTAATAACGATACGATCGAGATGTTTTGTCCAAGATAAGAGTAGGATAAATCTGACTTAAAAGTAAAATGATAAGCCCGGTTGTAATGTGTTCTACCACTGTACAAGTCAGTTCAGATTGAGGTAAATTGAAGTTTAGCTCTCGTGAAGGTAGAAGTAGCCGACTCGCTGAACTCTTAAATCTTTTGGGGGGGGGGGGGGGGGGGGGTCCAACTACAAAAAATACGAATACGAATTTCAAATTTTAGGGGTGCGTTCGTATTTTTTCGTATTTTTTCGTATTTTTTACCAACATTTTTTTTACTCTAGAAATAACAAAATATCCCAGATTAATGGATCTATAAATCCATTGGTATTCTCCGTTGTATCTTTGTATATTACACTGTATGACATCAGAGAAGATAAATATGACGCAGCAAAACTGGTGAACAAATGAAAATACAATACTACGATTACCTACTAATTAATAATTGGAGTTTAGCTGCTTGTCAATCTCAAGTAAGCGTATTTATGTCAAAATCACTGGGATATTATCACAATTCAGATATTATGATGTATTAATTGTGATTTATAAAGGTCTTTGAATGCTACATCACAGAATATTATTACCAAATACGCATTACGCATACTTTTAAAGTCTGGTAAGTTGGGTTCCTAAAACGAAATTGAATCAGCTTCGGCTGAACCCATTATATATTATAATATATAGACTATATATGGCACATTCATATTTCATATTGATATTCTATCAGATTTTTCTTTAGATAAACTTATTACACAAAGTAGTCATGGTTATAGTAACAGCTTAAATTCCTTAGGATTAAAAATAGAGAAAAACTTCAAATTCTCTTAGTGATCTTCAAAACTTCTTTTGATAGGTAAATCTTACAATCTACATCAGACTTCACCCAAACATGATAATTCTGATGGGTAGAACAAAAGGAGTTAGTCAGTTAGTGAGTACACGGCAGACAGCCTTGCTGAATATATGCGATGTTGACATGAACAGAGCCTGCCCGCGGAACTTGACAGCTTGCTTGAATTTTTTCTTGTCGAACCAGCCCTTGTCACCAACAGATACAGTATACACGTTTACAGTCTTTTCCAAGCGATTCACATGGCCGAGAAAGTGACACCCTGGCGATACTGTAGCCTTTGATTCTCCTTTGGTGTGTATGACCTGCCATTGATGACCGACCGTCGTTCATAAACTTCTCAGCAACAGTATCAACATGGTACCAACGGCCGTCGGTTGTGAGAACTCCAGTTGACTGGTTATAAATCTCCATTTCATCATCATCATCATTGGGGGCCTCAAGCTCAGCCTCTTCCCTGTCTTCATCATCAACTAGAGTGTAACATCATCAACTAGAGTGTAACAGTCGGGTTCAGTAGGTATATCGAGTTCGCACCCGGACAGCTTTGTGTGAGCACGAATCATATCCTTCCCCATGTCGATGCCTTCCCTGAGTGCTTTCCTAAGTTTCTTGAGGCTGGTGTCTCTGCCCTTGTACACCCGTGTTTGGTTGGGATTGGGAATCAGTGACGAGAGCGAGGACGAGGAGGAGGACGACTGATAAAAAGGAGAAGGGGGAGGAGGAGGAGGACTGGGTAAGGACTGATGAGGAGGAGGTCTAAAGACGAAGAGGACTGAGAAGGAAGACAAGGACAAGGAGGACGACTATGAGGAGGACTGAGGACGAGGACTGAGGAGTGGGAGGAGAACTGGGGGGATGACTGAGGAGAAGGACTGAGGAGGACTGAGGAGGGGGAGGAGGAGTAAAAGGATGATGACTAAGGACGAGGAAGACTGATGACTGAAGACGAGAGCGAGGACGAGGAGGAGGACGACTGATAAGAAGGAGAAGGAGGAGGAGGAGGAGGAGGGCTGGGGAAGGACTGATGAGGAGGAGGTCTAAAGACGAGGAGAAGTGAGGAAGAGGAGGACTGAGAAGGAAGACGAGGACGAGGAGGACGACTATGAGGAGGATTGAGGACGAGGACTGAGGAGGGGAGGAGAACTGGGGGGATGACTGAGGAGGAGAAGGACTGAAGAGGACTGAGGAGGAGGAGGAGGAGTAAAAAGATGAGGACTAAGGACGAGGAGGACTGAGGACGAGAGCGAGGACGAGGAGGAGGACGACTGATAAAAAGGAGAAGGGGGAGGAGGAGGAGGACTGGGTAAGGACTGATGAGGAGGAGGTCTAAAGACGAAGAGGACTGAGAAGGAAGACGAGGACGAGGAGGACGAATATGAGGAGGATTGAGGACGAGGACTGAGGAGGGGAGGAGAACTGGGGGGATGACTGAGGAGGAGAAGGACTGAAGAGGACTGAGGAGGAGGAGGAGGAGTAAAAGGATGAGGACTAAGGACGAGGAGGACTGAAGACGAGAGCGAGGACGAGGAGGAGGCCGACTAATAAGGAGAAGGATGAGGAGGACTGGGGAAGGACTGATGAGTAGGAGGTCTGGGGGAGGACTGAGGAGGAGGAGGATGACTGAGGAGTAGGAGGAGGAGGAGGAGGACTGAGGAGGAGGAGGACTGAGGAGGAGAAGGAAGAGGGGGAGGAGACTGAGGAGGAGAACTGGGGAGGACTGAGGAGAAGGAGGATGACTGAGGAAGGAGGAGGAGGACTGAGGAGGAGGAGGACTGGGGGAGGACTGATGAGGAGGAGGACTGGGGGAGGACTGAGGAGGAGGAAGAGGACTGTGGAGGAGGACTCAGGAGGACTCAATAGGAGGACTGAGGAGGAGGAGGACTAAGGAGAACGAGGACGACTATGAAGGGGACTGAGGAGGAGGACTGATGAAGAGGAGAAGGAAGAGGAGAAGGAGGAGGATGAGGACTGGGGAAGAGGAGGATGAGGAGGAGGACTCAGGAGGAGGAGGAGGACTCAGGAGGAGGACTCAGGAGAAAGAAGACTCAGGAGGAGGAGAAGGAGGAGGAGGAGGAGGAGGACTGGCGAAGGACTGATGAGAAGGAGGTCTAAAGACGAGGAGGACGGAGGACGAGGAGGACTGAGAAGGAAGACGCGGACGAGGAGGACGACTATGAGGAGGACTGAGGACGAGGACTGAGGAGGGGGAGGAAAAACACATAAAACATACTAATGGAATGTCCTATTGGTTCGTTTTCTCATCACAATATATACTATTATATAGCATACGTATTATGTAGGGGTTCTGATTGAATTATATCACTTCTGAGAGGTTTTAGAGATCGATTCTGTAAATTTCTCAATTTTCCGATTTTTCCGATTTCGATTTTGGCCTCATCAACCCTCATATCGGAAATCGGGTTGGACCCCCCCCCCCCCCCCCCCCAGTTAAATGGACCAATTTCCAATAAAACATAAAATGGATCACAATATATCCCAAATTTTAATTTTAAAAACGATAAAAAGGGAGCGACTTTCAAAATTTTGTGTGGGTTCATCGTTTTTGTTGTTGCACCCCCAGGTTTTATGTATGATACATGATGGTTTACATATTATTTTAATGTTTCTTCACTGCTAAGTTGAGCTTAGATCTGATTAATTACGAAGATGTGTGATCTTCTATTTATCAAAATGACGATTTGTAAAAAATACGAAAAAATACGAATACGAATTTGAAATTTTAGGGGTGCGTTCGTATTTTTTGTAGTTGGAATCCCCCCCCCCCCCCCCCCCCCCCCATCTTTTGACCCATCAGCATGGACATTATCGGGGAAAATGATGATCGATTAGAATCTTACAGTTACTCCTCCTTGCACGATGCTACTAGATCAATCTGATAAAATAAGCGTATATATGCAATATGTCTCCTCAATGTTGTCATTGGTAGTCGCCCCCGCCCCCTCCCTTAATTTACCTGAGGTACTCTAACAGCCCTAAAGTAGCTCCCAAGAAGTCAGGAATGTCCAGTGACCATTTATAAATATTCTAGACTTCAGTCTTGAGAAGTTTACGATCTGGTCTGGAGAAGCCAGATTTTTTGAAATCTAAATGGGGACTAATGGAGACTTTTGGGGACTAATGGGGACTAAAAATCATGGGGACTCGGGGTAAAATCGTTGACGTAATTCCCCAAGTCCCCAAAAGTAGTCATTGGCCCCCCCCCCCCCCCCCCCCCCCCCCCCGTTCCCAGTTACCACAGTAACCCTGTATAATGACAATGTGTTCCCAGTTACCATAGTAACCCTGTATAATGACAATGTGTTCCCAGTTACCATAGTAACCCTGTATAATGACAATGTGTTCCCAGTTACCATAGTAACCCTGTTAAATGACAATGTGTTCCCAGGAGACATCTACCTGATAGCTTGTGATAGAGGACATGAGCTGATCGGAACAGAAGAGCTGGTCTGCGGACGGGACGGACAAGCCACCTCGGAAAACCCGGACAACTACCCGGAGTGTATCTACCTGCCGGGGCCGTGTGATAAACCCAGGATAGAGAACGGCTGGGTTACATACGATCAGGACGACCTGGAGATCCCTTTCAGAGCGGAGACGTTCGTAGTGTGTTACGGGCCGAACTACGGGCCCCCTCAGACACTGGTCACTTGTATGGGCAACAACCAGTGGCAGCCTGCCATTCCAGTCTGTACCTGGCAAGGTAAGAGTGGGAGAGGCTACTATTCCTGAGTAGTATATAATATACATTTTTACAGTGTTATATAATATAATATATATATTATATAATATAAAAATATTCCTGCGCAGGACCAACTTGCGAGTTTCCAGTAATAGAGAACGGAGTGGTGAGCCCCCAACTAGAGGAGGTACTCCCAGAACAGGTACTCACAGTCACGTGTACTGAGGGGTACGAGAAGAACCCCCGCGTGGATCTGGAGTGTGTGTACGCGGGCGGACACGCCCAATACAATCACAAACTACCAGTCTGTGAGAGGACCAGTTCCTCCTGCAACACTCCGCAAATACAGAACGGTTATGTGGACGGTCCCGAGGTGAGTTACCATAGTAACACTGCACTACTAGTTACCATAGTTCCAGAGATACGGTCCCGAGGTGAGGAAGAATTATTTGAACCTTTTAATTCACAGAAGAGGAATTAGTTTCACACAGTAAAACACATAAATTGCAAATACTTTCCAGCCGTTGCAAAGAGACGACAGATTCACAGTGGTATGTGACGAAGGGTACGAGCTAGCTGGACAGCAAGGATCGCTGATCTGCTTCAAGGATAACATCTACTCCCAGCTGCTTCCTTCTTGTCAGATGAGCGATCTTAATGTTACAGAGTGCGACAAACCGGAAATACAGAACGCTAAGATCCTAGGAACACCTCTTACTGGCTACTATATAACTGTATGTAAAATAGGTCGGGAGAGGGGGGGGGGGGGGGGGGGAGCTTTATAAGCTAGGTTTATACTCAATGAATGAAGGTTTAGAGTGTTTGATTAATAAGCAATATAGAGTATATATATAAAAGTGTCGCTAAAGTTACATAACTCCAGGTGATATGTGACGAAGGGTACTCTATAGGGGGAGAGAGCAGACTACAGTGTCTGAACACAGGCCAGTTCGACCAGGCCATGCCCCAGTGTTCTGAGAAACCCCCGGACAGAGAGCTGCTCTGCGGAGAGAGGACCACATTGACCATGTTGGGTGGCAGCTTGGAGGGCACTGACTTTGTAACATCACACCCTACTGGGGAGCCGGATGCAGACCCGGACCAGATCCCCACAGTGACTATATTCGGAGGGAGCCCGGCTAAACCCAAGGAGTTCCCATGGAACGTGCTGATAGAGTTTAGCAAGGGGCGGTTCTGCGGAGGTTCCATCATCAGCAGAGAGTGGGTCCTCACAGCGGGGCATTGTCTCCTCGATAACTTCTACCAGCGCTGCAACAACAGACTGGACCCGGGCTGCAACACCATGTCTAAGAACGATGTGAGGAAGGTGATCGCTGGGATGTACGACAGAGACTCCAACAACGAGCAGAGACAGATCAGAACAGCTACCGACCTCATACTGCACCCTTACTTCACCTCTCAGGTACTAGTTACCATAGTTACCATAGCTACACTACTAGTTACCATAGTTACACTAGAACTTAATATAGTTACACTACTAGTTACCATAGTTACACTACTAGTTACCATAGTTACACTACTAGTCACCATAGTTACACTACTAGTTACCATAGTTACACTACTAGTTACCATAGTTACACTACATAGTTACACTACTAGTTACCATAGTTACACTACTAGTACCTTATATGAGTTATACTTCACCCTTACTTTTCCTCTCAGGCCACTTACATAGACTTCGATGTGGGACTAATCAAGGTAAACGAGCCCTTCACCTACAACGAGATGGTGAACAGAGTGTGTCTACCTAAGGCAGGGGCGGGCACTCTGGTGGGCAACCAGAAACTAGAGATCTCAGGCTGGGGTAAAACCAACTCCTCGAGTGACTCGTCCATCATGTTGAAGACCAAGGTTCCGTACGTGAGCAGGGAAGTGTGTAACGAGGACAGATCGTACGGAGGGGTGGTTACAGAGACTATGTTCTGTGCTGGCTTTCAGGCGGGGAGAAAGGACGCGTGTCAGGGAGACAGTGGGGGTCCGCTCGTCTACCTGGGCTCTAACGGTACCTTCGAGCAGGGCGGCATTATCAGCTGGGGGCGGTACTGTGCCGCCGAGAACTTTTACGGGGTTTACACGAACTTGCCCTACTTTTACGATTGGATCATGAACTATATAATTGAGAACTAAGTAAAAGCTTACCCGTTACCATAGTAACTGCAGCAGTTAACCTGGGACTCCCGGAATTGAAGTAGTGCCTGTTGTTCCTGATGCTGGCACTAATCTTGTGACTTTTAACGGATGCGTGTCAGGGCACAGGGAACATGCCTAATTAATCAACTGATTAGGGTTCTAAGAATTGAGAAAATGATTGCAGTAATGAGTAAATAATTTAAGAATTTGGAGACGTTAAATTATTTCCACATCTGAGTAGCATCAAGGCTGAATGCAGTGATTGACAAATGACAATGGGAAATAAAACTTTTAATTTGCTATATCTATTCGTTACAAACATCAAAATCAACATAATCAATGAGAACTTAGAATAGCAAAAAATAAGTGTTTTTATTGCACGACAGCTATCCGCATAGGTAATACAGTTCTACGTGTAAAACTCTTCAACATGCACCGTAGAATGAGGTAGCTAGTAAGGGACAGTATCCAGTACACAAGTAGTGAGATGAGACAGTGCAGGAAGTGTTGTTCACTTTCACAGAATAGTTCATCATTCTGGTCGTACTTACACTCACCACCTCTGTAAATATAAAGTTACCATGGTTTAACCTCTGTAAAAATTAATGTTAGAAAAAGTCTAATAAACGATGCACTGAGCGTGTCATTAAAAGAAGTTCAATTAAAGTTATTGGACAAGGTTACCATGGTTACTGCAGCAGGTTATTATGGTAACTGCACAAGGATACTATGGTAACTGCAGCAGGTTATTATGGTAACTGCACAAGGATACTGTCGTTACTGCACAGGGTTACCATGAAAACTGCACAAGGTTACTATGGTAACTGCACAAGGTTACCATGGTAACTGCAAGGTTACCATGATAACTGCAGTAGGTTATTATGGTAACTGCACAAGGATACCATGGTAACTGCAGCAGGTTACCATGGTAACTGCAGCAGGTTATTATGGTAACTGCACAAGGTTACTATGGTAACTGTAAAAGGTTACTATGGTAACTGCACAAGGTTACCATGGTAACTGCAGCAGGTTATTATGGTAACTGCGCAAGAATACCATGGTAACTTCAGCAGGTTATCATGGTAACTGCACAAGGATACCATGGTAACTGCAGCAGGTTACCATGGTAACTGCAAGGTTACCATGGTAACTGCAGCAGGTCACCATGGTAACTGCAGCAGGTTACCATGGTAACTGCAGCAGGTTATTATGATAACTGCAGCAGGTTATTATGGTAACTGCACAAGGATACCATGGTAACTGCACATGGTTACCATGAAAACTGAACAAAGTTACTATGGTAACTGCACAAGGTTACCATGGTAACTGCAGCAGGGTATTATGGTAACTGCACAAGGTTACTATTGTAACTGCAAGGTTACTATGGTAACTGCACAAGGTTACCATGGTAACTGCAGCAGGTTATTATGGTAACTGCGCAAGGATACCATGGTAACTTCAGCAGGTTATCATGGTAACTGCACAAGGATACCATGGTAACTGCAGCAGGTTACCATGGTAACTGCAGGCTGCAGCAGGTTACCATGGTAACTGAAAGGTTACCATGGTAACTGCAAGGTTACCATGGTAACTGCAGCAGGTTACCATGGTAACTGCAGCAGGTCACCATGGTAACTGCAGCAGGTTACCATGGTAACTGCAGCAGGTTATTATGGTAACTGCACAAGGATACCATGGTAACTGCACATGGTTACCATGAAAACTGAACAAAGTTACTATGGTAACTGCACAAGGTTACCATGGTAACTGCAGCAGGGTATTATGGTAACTGCACAAGGTTACTATTGTAACTGCAAGGTTACTATGGTAACTGCACAAGGTTACCATGGTAACTGCAGCAGGTTATTATGGTAACTGAACAAGGATACCATGGTAACTGCACAAGGTTACTATGGTAACTGCAGCAGGTTACTATGGTAACTGCAGCAGGTTACCATGGTAACTGCAGCAGGTTATTATGGTAACTACACAAGGTTACTATGGTAACTGCAAGGTTACCATGATAACTGCACAAGGTTACCATGGTTACAGGTGTTGATCTGTTGTTAATGATGAGGTCCAAAATCCAAATATTCATAAGTCTCTAATAATTTTTACGGACATAATATATGGCGATCTTGAGGTTTTTACAGACTGACAACTTTTATTCCTGTCATCTTAAAATAAGAATAATTTGAACTAATATTAAACCTGCTGAACGACTTATGCGCCTGATGAGTCTAAATGAAAAAGAAAAAAGAATAGATGTGGATTCTCGTGGGGAGGTGAGGTACATTTGTTCGTGATTGGACGGATCGGCGTTTTTTTAGATCACTTGACATAACACCTCTATTGCTATTGGTCGCTCGGGATCACGGAGCACATAGCTGCCCGTCGTTCAGAATAAATTTAATTCAGTTGTTATCACGATTGTTGCTCACCAAAATGAGTTGCTCGCCTGCGGTGTGTTTTCGTACTCTGCTCTTCACTCAAGTTGCAAAACTGCAATAAACATATTATTGCAACGAACATTTCTCTCTGAAAATTCTGTTAGTACCTGTTCGATCAGTTAAGGTGACGATTGCCTAAATATTTCGGTTTCAGCTTAACCCCCTCGGTCATGAGTAGAACCAAAGGATCAAAGTATATGTTGCTGGTTGCTCTTATTAACTGAAAAACATCAATTTTGAGGGATAAGGAAGTGTTTGTGGGTTCTAAAACCTAGTTAAATCGATTTCTCGTGCAACTTTATGTCAAGAACAGTCATCAAAATGAGTTAATAAAAAGTTCGATTTCTCGGTTATTTTTAAGCTTTCGTTCAGAAAATAATTCGGGATTTTCAAAGGGGGGTTACAAGAAGGAGTTACAAGCGTTACAAGCGTTACATAATACAAAATGTGCATCACCTCTTGATCCTGCTGAACAGAACCTCCACCTTAAAAGTAAACAAATGTACCTCAAGCTCACCTCGGCACCTCCCCACGAGAATCCACATCTATAATAGTAAAGGGGTATAAACATAAACATGATAAAGGTTGACTGAATTAATATTAACTATAGAACTTACTCCTGACAGCAGATAGTACCGCAACAAAAGTGATCCTCTTCACAGCACTGAGTATGTTCCTGAGCATTCTCATCTTGTTGCCATGACAACTGGTCCGGTTCCCCAGCACTCTTCTTTTGTAACCATGACAACTGGTCCGGTTCCCCAGCACTCTTCTTTTGTAACCATGACAACTGGTCCGGTTCCCCAGCACTCTTCTTTTGTAACCATGACAACTGGTCCGGTTCCCCAGCACTCTTCTTTTGTAACCATGACAACTGGTCAGGTCCCTCAGAACGCTTACAGCATTTCCCCTTTTGCTGTTCTGTGTGATATCGTGTTTTAGCGGGGGGCGGGGGGGGGGGGGGACCCTTCCAGCTCCAGCTGGGAAGTTTCCCTATTCTTATATTGAAATATTATGATGTATTAGGGATTATTATTCCATTTGTAAATACAGACGATTTGTACAATTTAAGACTTTTAGCCTCTGATAGAGCGGGATGGAAGAAGTTGTTATAGTTTGTGTATCAGTTTTTCTTTTTTTTCTGGCTACTTATCAGATCTTTAACATGTTCATTTATGTTCTATTTTTGATTTGAATAAAGTTATATAATAATAATTAGGGAGCAGTGAATTAACAAACCTCCGCAGTTTTGTTCGTCTGACTGGTCAGAACACTGTGGATAGCCGTCACACCTCTCATCTTCATAAATACAATTCTCACCGTCACTACACTTAAACCGGTCGTTCGAACATGTGTAATCTGAGAGACACGATTTATGATATTATTATCAATACAAGGAAAAATCAAGATCAACGTCAAAATTGAGACTTTTGATTAAATACAGTCTGGTGTATGTCAGTAGCATGTGTGTAGTGTGTTTATAATCTGAGCACCTTCACAGTCAGCTTCATCGGTCCCATCTTTACAATCCTTTATCCCATCACACACCATACTCTCGTAAATACACTGTACAGAGTCTGAGCATCTTCTTTGGTCTCCATACGAGCAGGAATCTGAAGACACAATTAATTAACATAATTAACATAATTAACATAATTAACATAATTAACATAATTAACATAATTAACATAATTAACATAATTAATTAATTAACATACTCAGACAAATGTGCGCAGATAGAAATACAGAAATACTCTGTAGTCGGACTAACTTATCGGACTTTATTTGGTCGGAGATTACGTGAGCCCTGACGTAATTTCATCCCGCCCAAAAAAGGTCCGATAAGGTATAATATCAGTTTTAGTATTTAAACGAGCAATGAGCACATTGTTTATTCCCCAGCTCCAGCTGGGAAGTTTCCCTATTCTTATATTGAAATATTATGATGTATTAGGGATTATTATTCCATTTGTAAATACAGACGATTTGTACAATTTAAGACTTTTAGCCTCTGATAGAGCGGGATGGAAGAAATTGTTATAGTTTGTGTATCAGTTTTTCTTTCTTTTTTCTGGCTACTTATCAGATCTTTAACATGTTCATTTATGTTCTATTTTTGATTTGAATAAAGTTATATAATAATAATTAGGGAGCAGTGAATTAACAAACCTCCGCAGTTTTGTTCGTCTGACTGGTCAGAACACTGTGGATAGCCGTCACACCTCTCATCTTCATAAATACATTTCTCACCGTCGCTACACTCAAACCGGTCGTGCGAACATGACGTGTAATCTGAGGGAGTGCGAACATGTGTAATCTGAGGGAGTGCGAACATGTGTAATCTGAGGGAGTGCGAACATGTGTAATCTGAGGGAGTGCGAACATGTGTAATCTGAGAGAGTGCGAACATGTGTAATCTGAGAGACACGATTTATGATATTATTATCAATACAAGGAAGAATCAAGATCAACGTCAAAATTCAGACTGTTGATTAAATACAGTGTAGTGTATGTATGTAGCATGTGTGTACTGTGTAGTGTGTTTATAATCTGAGCACCTTCACAGTCAGCTTCATCGGACCCATCTTTACAATCCTTTATCCCATCACACACCATACTCTCGTAAATACACTGTACAGAGTCTGAGCATCTTCTTTGGTCTCCATCCGAACAGGAATCTGAAGACACAATTAATTAACATAATTAACATAATTAATTGATTAACATACTCAGACAAATGTGCGCAGATAGAAAATATACAGAATTACTCTGTAGTCGGATTAACTTATAAACTTACCGGACTTTATTTGAGATTACGTGAGCCCTGAAGTAATTTCATCCCGCCCAAAAAAGGTCCGATAAGGTATAATGTCAGTTTTAGTATTTAAACAGGTAAGGATAAGGTTTCCTGTGTTTGCAAGAATATCTTGAGTTCGGCTGCTTAAAATTGGCCCAAAATTTCACCGATTATCCGTCTCCTGGCCATACAAATGTGTGAAAAGTTTCAGTAAAGTGCGATTTGTAAGTCTCGAGATATGGGCCTGCGATATTGACCCTGAGATAGGGTTTTCGGGTTTTCAAGGAATATCTTGAGTTCGGCTGCTTACAATTTGCCCAAAATCTCACCGATTATCCGTGTCCTGGCCATACAGCGATGTGAAAAGTTTGAAGAAAGTGGGACTTTTGAGTCTCGAGATATGCGCCTTTGTGACCCCCAAAATTGCCCCTTTGGATAAGGTTTCCTGTGTTTGCAAACATATCTTGAGTTTGGCTGCTTTAAATTGGCCGAAAATTTCACCGATTATCCGTCTCCTGGCCATACAAATGTGTGAAAAGTTTGAGTAAAGTGCGATTTGTAAGTCTCGAGATATGGGCCTGCGATATTGGCCTGAGATGGGGTTTTCGGGTTTTCGGGTTTTCAAGGAGTTAAACGAGCAATGAGCAATTTTTTTATTCCCCAGCTCCAGCTGGGAAGTTTCCCTATTCTTTATACATTGAAATATTATCTGAGGGAGTGCGAACATGTGTAATCTGAGGGAGTGCGAACATGTGTAATCTGAGGGAGTGCAAACATGTGTAATCTGAGAGAGTACGAACATGTGTAATCTGAGGGAGTGCGAACATGTGTAATCTGAGAGACACGATTTATGATATTATCATCAATACAAGGAAGAATCAAGATCAACGTCAAAATTCAGACTTGATTAAATACAGTCTGGTGTATGTATGCAACATGTGTGTAGTGTGGATAATAATCTGAGCACCTTCACAGTCAGCTTCATCGGACCCATCTTTACAATCCTTTATCCCATCACAGACCATACTCTCGTAAATACACTGTACAGAGTCTGAGCATCTTCTTTGGTCTCCATCCGAACAGGAATCTGAAGACACAATTAATTAACATAATTAACATAATTAATTGATTAACATACTCAGACAAATGTGCGCAGATAGAAATACAGAATTACTCTGTAGTCGGATTAACTTATCGGAATTTATTTGGTCGGAGATTACGTGAGCCCTGACGTAATTTCATCCCGCCCAAAAAAGGTCCGATAAGGTATAATCAATAATGTCAGTTTTAGTATTTAAAAGAGCAATGAGCACTTTGTTTATTCGTGGAAAATCAACTTACCAGACGACAAATCGTGATTAGCAGTCGAGTGATTGAACAATCTGAAATGGAGTGAGTGAGTGAGTGAGTGAGTGAGTGAGTGAGTGAGTGATCGATCGATCGATCGATCGATCGATCGATCGATCGATCGATCGATTGATTGATTGATTGATTGATTGATTGATTGATTGATTGATTGATTGATTGATTGATTGATTGATTGATTGATTGATTGATTGATTGATTGATTGATTGATTGATTGATTGATTGATTGATTGATTGATTGATTGACGCACAAGGGTACGTGTCGCACTACAGTACGGGAACCTAACTCACGTTATCACGATAAGTATCAAACAGACACACATGTTGTCCAAGTTGTCTGTTCGTTTGTCTGTTCGTCTGTAACCACTGTTCTATTATTAGCTAGGTCCCTTTGTTCTTCAAGTCCTCATGACATAACCTGTCAGGAAGTTATTGGACAAGGTTACCATGGTAACTGCAGCAGGTTATCATGGTAACTGCAATGCGAATCAAGGCTAAACGTTTGTTGGAGCAAAGAAGAGATATCTTACCTGAAAATGGGTTACAATCATTGATGCGATGGAAGTTAAAATTTATCTCATTTTTATCAAAACTAAAAATGAACCTTTGTACGGCACTTTGAGTCATGGATCGGGAAAAAATCAAAAACAACAATAAGATATGTTTAAAAGTAACATAAAAGTGAATCCACGGTACAAAATTGACAGAAATATCAAACTGATTAATTCAATTAAAGTACAATATATAAATATTTCAAATTAATGTAACCTTATGCATAATAACAAATTATTAAAATAATAAAAGCTGACAAACAATAAAGTTTAACGGTTTTCTCAAACAGGCTCCTCTATCCTGGTGTTGTTATTGTACAGACGATGAGAACAGAACAGATAACTAAGAAGAGACAACGCCCACAAAACACCCGCGAACACGAAGGGAATCCAGTTCTTGTTCTCGCACTTTAACATCCCTGACTCTTCGTCCAGAACACATTTGTCGCTCCTAGGGGTGGTTAAGTGTTAAACATTTGTCGCTCCTAGGGGTGGTTAAGTGTTAAACATTTGTCGCCACTATAGTGCACTATAGGGTGCACTACTAGGGTCTTTCCTTGAAATATTTCACAGTAGATGTGACAAGTCACTGAGAATGGCACAAGACACGATTGAGGTACTCAAAGTTCTATTCCCAAAGAAAGCTTTGATATTTAACAGGAAATCATCAGAATATAAAAAGATATTTTGGAATAGTTTTGAAGAGGAACTTTTCTGCCGTCCCTTTGACCAAAATTTCGCGGTTTTGACCGATTTTTGTTGTTGACCGAATTGATGCTTAGGTGGTTAAATGTAAAGCATCGGTCACTTAAAATATATTCAAGAACCAAGATGGGAAATGCAGAATAGTAAAAAAACTTACTCATAACAACATATAGACTGTACGAAGTTCATACAACATTTCATTGCGGGAGAACAGCACAAGTGAGGGTAAACTTGACTTCCACAACACTCCCACCCTGAGTCACAGCACCCTGAACCTACACCTGAGGGGGCACAAGTCAGGGTAAACTTTACTTCCACAACACTCCCACCCTGAGTCACTAGTGTAAAATAAGGTAGGCACCAGAACAGTCCTCCCGAGGCGTACCAATGGTATACAGTGCCTGCTCACAAGTCTCTCACTACACACTATACTCTCAGTCGTCGTAGCGACTGACAACTGCAATAACTCACAATAACTAAGTATTGAACTCTACGTTAATACGACAATCACGATAACTTGTATTGCCAATTACTCTGATATGACTACTACATACATGCAACTAAGTGCGGTACTGTGAATCAAACGGTTCAAATGCTACAATTCGGTCCTAAGCTAGAGTTGAACAAAGGAAACAGTTGAATCGAGTAATAACGTTCGAATGATGAATATAAAGATATTATCAACAATCACAACTTAAACTGTGGCAAGACGGGCCACGTTTGGCGTTCTAGATCAGCGGTTAACACTTTGATTAAACACGTCACCTAAAGAGCTTTTCCAGAACTAATCCTAACGTGTCCAGAAATGCGTTATCGACACGCGCCACGTGATACCACGTGGTCACTTAACTACCTAAATCTACACTCATTACTAACGGTCATAATAATCACTAAATTACAATCTACACAACTGCTAAAACTACTCTAAAACTGCAGCCTACATATTACACTATATCCCCCGGGAAAATTTAATCGATTTCGTCAATATCTCCAGGAGGTATTGACAAATTCGACTAAATCCCCCCTACCTACTACATCCTTTAAAAAAATCCTAAAACTCCCTCTTAAACAAACTACCCTAAAAAATTTACACGTGCTACAAAAATATAAAATTTTTAAAAAAATACGTGTACCATCACGTACCAAATCTGAATAATTAAAACTACACGTGAAATCTCACGTGACACAATACAAATAAATTATAAAAACTAACGTGATACACTTCACGTTACAAACTTCAACTACTTCAAAATATTTACAAAACTTGCTACCCTACTAACTGTCCTTCTCCTAAACTGTCCCTCCTACTTCCCTTACTTCTTCTGCTGTTCTGTCGAAGTCGTAGCACCGTCTACCATCCACCGTCTCTGTCCACACCACCCGTTGTTGAACACGTCCTCCACAACCATACTCCTAATCCAGGTACCGTACATCTAGGCACGAACCTACACTTACACCATTATTTCCGTACACCTAGTTACGAACATAACTTACACAATTATCTCCGTACACCTAGTTACGAACATAACTTGCATAATTATCTCCGTACACCTAGTTACGAACATAACTTACACAATTATCTCCGTACACCTAGTTACGAACATAACTTGCATAATTATCTCCGTACACCTAGTTACGAACATAACTTACACAATTATCTCCGTACACCTAGTTACGAACATAACTTGCATAATTATCTCCGTACACCTAGTTACGAACATAACTTACACAATTATCTCCGTACACCTAGTTACGAACATAACTTGCATAATTATCTCCGTACACCTAGTTACGAACATAACTTACACAATTATCTCCGTACACCTAGTTACGAACATAACTTGCATAATTATCTCCGTACACCTAGTTACGAACATAACTTACACAATTATCTCCGTACACCTAGTTACGAACTTCACATAAGTCACTGCAGACCGTCATATTTATAGATATGAAGTCAAATCATCTAGATTAAACCTTATCGGCACATGATAAATCCAGTCATCTAAAGGCAAACCTAGGCATCAGGAGCGATGCTCTACCGGAACTCAAGGTGACTCACGCTCTACTCTTCTCCACGGTTCAATCAACTACTCCACCTCTAGCAAACTCTCCACTCTCCAGGGTAGCAAGCCCTTCAAAATAAAAACCAGACATCACTCAACCATATCAACCGATAATAAGGACACCAGGCGAACCCTTAGCACGGCGGGAGATAAGAAATGCAACGATGACCACCTTCCACAGGTTCCAGGTAGTCTGCAAAACATGACAAATCGTCGTATCTGCCCGAGCAACAGGTAGTTAACTGGCATCCCTTGACCAGCAATCCTCTAAAAACCAAGTAAACTATCCTTTACCACCTTCAATACAACACTAATTCTCGACACCGGTCTGTAGTAATCCGGCTTCTTTAATTCTGCTCTATTCCTTAGAGAACGTCCTCCACTGACTACAGGTGTACTCTGTTCCTCAGGTGAGTAAGCTAGTGTACTGTTACTCTCCCCCAGTATGACAGGACTCAAACTATCCTCCATCCGGGATGTAGGTTCCTCAACCCCTCTGCCCCACCCGGGTGTGTGGAAAGATCCAAAACTCGATTCTGTCTCCTGGATAGGTGATGAAATATGAATAGGAGTGTTAACCCTAGCTGGTGTCTGAGGGTCATGTTGGATTGAAATGTCCTGACTTTCCGTTCTGAAGGGAAGTGAATATTCCGGTGATAGAGGTACGTCAGGAATATCAATATTCTGACTAGACAAGGTACTCTCTCGAACCACAGAACTCCCTCTCTCCACATGCTCAGGCATCCACTCCTCATCACTACTGCTATCACTATCATCACTATCCCTTCTTACTGGGTCTTTTCTCACCGGCTCCACAGTATCTCTGCTGTCCTCACGAATCACTACTCTTTTCTCCGAGAATCTGTTCATCTCGTAGTGCTTCATTTTACAAATGTTCGTGACCTTCTCTAATCCAGGTCCGTACTCCACCACATACAAGTGATCATTTAGTACCTTCTTCACCTTGCACGGACCCCTAAATCGTGGAGCAAACTTGTGTTTAGGACATTGCACTAACACGAAACAAAAGTCGTTCTCCTTAAAGTAAGGACCATGCAGGTTTCGATCATGTTGCCTCTGTGCATACATGAAATCTACATTAGCACTCTCTCTCACTCTCCTGATGATCCTCTTCATTTCTCTGTGAAGCTCGTACGCCTCCCTGGCAGCGGCGTTCCTCGTATCTGGCTGATGCTTTTCTCTATCATCTAACATCAGATTCAACGGCAAGTTGACCTCTCTGCCAAATATCATCTTGTGAGCAGAATACCCAGTTCTCCGGTTCTTCAAACAGTTCAAGGCAAATGTACTCTTGTCCAGGTACATATCCCAACAGTTCTCCTTTCCCCTAGGAATGCATGCACGCAACGCTCGATTTGTTCTCTTGTTGTTGCTCTCAGCACGGGCCGTGCTAGACGCTTTATACGATGTTCCGTGAGTTTTCTTGCACTCGAAAAACTCCCAAACTTCCTTGAAGAATTCTGCTCTGAACCCGGGGTGATTATCCACAATTAACTCCCGACACATTCCGAACTTTAATACCCAGTTCTTCATTATTGCTGCTATATTCTCCTTAGCAGTTTGACTCTTGACTGGAACTGCTACCAGATAGTTTGACCAGGCATCAGAGATAGTAAGGATGTATCGATATCCTCGGGGTGTTCTCTGATTTGCTGTCGGTACTATGTGATCAATTACAATAGCGTCATTGAAATGGTGGAAGAACAAATGCTTTAACGGTGCTTTCAGATAAGCTTTCGGCTGCTTCATCTCTCCGCATCTTATGCACGCTTTGATGTACATTTTGAAGTCCTGCTCCATCTTTGGCCAGTAGAAGTACTCCCTGCATTTCTCCACACAGGTGCTGATTCCCGGATGACAGTTGGTGATGTTGTCGTGAAACAGTCTCATGATCTCCTCTTCATAGCTGTCTGGTATCACGATTAACTCTCTCGAATCCTTCTCTTTTCTTGAAACCCACTTTCTCTTCAAGAGTCCGCTTTCATCCACTTTCATCAAGCTAAATTGGGTCCAATAGGTGATCAATTTGTCTGGCACACGGTTCACCTGGATTGTTCCCCGGGCGCCGTCTTTAACCCACTGTTTCACAATCCTCAATATTGGATCCAAGTTCTGCTCTGTCTTGATCCTTTCTAAATCTGGTAAGCATTGGTTGTCTGTCTCTGTATCTGGTACTGCAAAGGTAACCTGTTTACAATTACCCTGCTTCTTCTGAAGTCGTGGCATCACATCGATGCTGCAAATACATACAGGAACATCCTTCTCCTTGAGCTTTACCATCCCCACATGTCCATCATGATTGTCCTCGAACAGGAGTTGTAGATCACTTTTCTCCGTTTGATCTCTCTTAGTCACCCCGTTCTCATCATGCTCATCAATTATCATCGCATCTGTACTCTGCTCTCTCCATATCTCATTCTTCCAGCCATTTATCCCCTCACTGATTACTATCTCGCTCCCACTACTACACACTCTACTGTTCTCTCCCATACCGCACATGACGTTATCAGCGTCACTCACCGCACCAAAACTCTTCTCAGAGGATTCACTAACGTCAGGAGCGTTATGACTCGGAATGGTATCGACACCCAGAGACCTGGTAAACTCCTCTCCTCTCGATCTCTCCGCTCCACTGACTTCTGTCTGGCATGATGCTTCC